TTTTTGTAAATATTTTATATTTAGTAACTGAATCATAATCCTATTCATTGTAATTAATTTATTCATATCATATTACGTATCATATTACTTAACACTAACCACTCTGCACTGAAGATGGCATTATGATAATGTCGAAACATGTTTGCTCTCAAAAAAATCGTCGTTTTTCTCAAGTGTTTTTTAAAATTGCTGCTAATTAGAAATTAAAGTGAAGAATATATTTAAATTGCCTACAATAGAGTTCCTCAGGCGACTATTCATCCTAAACAAAATGTTCGACTTTAGGTTTCTCCAATACTTCGTAAACAACTAAACATGAATTCCCTAAACCTCATGTATAGCTTTCTCTTCACCGTGCAAGAAAACAGAACGTGTTTGCTTGTAATGGCCACTTCAAGTTTTAATAAGAGGTTGGTTACCGTTGTTATAAAAAAGGAAAATGGCGTGACTTTCGTACCTTGGTCTTTCACTCGTGTGACGTAGCCTTTCGTCCGCCAGTCCACATATTTAGGTAGTTCTACGCCAGTTGGTGCTACGAAGGTTGAGCCGGATCTTTTTATACTAATTCTCCGATTTTTTGCTCCAAGCATCGACGATCGATATTCTGTGGGAGTCAAATCACCAAATTGGTTCATCGCTAACTTAAATTTCGCCTTGCCCTTGTTGTGCTCTTTGATGTACTGTAAGAAGTCGATTTGCTTTTAAAGCTCACGTTTCTAGCTAACGATGCTATCTCTATAGGCAGGGGCAGATAAACTGCAGGTCTATCATAAACGAAAGCATGATGGACTCAGGCATTAATATAAGAGTGTTTTTACATACTTTGTGTTCTCGTAAAGTTAAAATGGTGTTCTTGCAAATGAAAATATTTTTCCTTTAGAAAGAATTATTGCATAATGATAGTAATATTTTATCATTTGATTTATGCAGTACTTTCTCCGATCGCAGTGAAAATGGAGCGACTCCTGGCTATAAAATTATTGAAATTTTTCATATTTCGTTCAATTGTTCGCATAAAACGCTTAAAAGTAAGAAAAAATGGAAGAATGACTGCGAATGAGTTTCATCTTAGTAACGTGACATTGGTTTGACCAATGTGGGACAATAATAAGACGAACTGAAACTTTTCAAAAAAACGTGTTAGCTACTGTAAAAGTTTTTAGTTAATGCGTGGAAGGACTGTCAGCATACCTCAAGATTCGACTGCCATATTGCTTTACGATACGCTTCAACATTCGGTTTCTCGTAGGTTTTACTGTGAAATTTCTTCCAAGTTTGCCATTCGCCATTATTGCCGTGTAGATCGAGTTTGTCGACTTGATAAGCTTGAAAAATAGTTACCATGTCGCATAACAGAAAGAAAGAAACAAAGACAACAAAGCCATAATGGATAAAGTCTATTGAAAAATATTGATGCCTCAAACTGCTGCAAGTTCGGAACAAAGATACTAAACATACAGATTATTGCAACATTGATACAATATCTTGCACTTATGAACTTTAAGCTAAACTGTACAACGATTGAGCCAGTGTTATTGCTGGTGAACTACGCATCCTGTCACGTGTAACTCATTTGAAAATATCAAAAGCGAGCAGTTGGCGGATTTTATTGCGCAAGATTACCCGCTGCGATTCTACTTTCAAGTTATTGTTGCACTAATAAATTCTTTAAAAGTTCAAATGTTTCCTTCCAGCGGGAATCCGTGCATGATCATCTGCGATCTGTTGATTCTCATTTTTCAATTTTATTGAATGATAAATGAATTCGGCAAACACTTATTGAACTAACTCCATCACATTACTCGGAAATTAAATACGAAATTGAGTATGTTCTTTTCTCTTCACAAGAGTAAAGATGCTAAATGAAGATATGATCTTCGCACTTTGCTGGACAATTTAAGCAATTGTCTCATGAACCTGAAAAATTCAGATGACTAAACGGGACCTCATGCGGTGCCGGTGCAGTACTCTGACCAACTGAGCTATGAAGTCACACAGAGGTCAGCAGGTCAATTTTGTTGGGCTCATGTTTTCTCGTGAAAGGAATGTCTTATGAAAGAATGTTTTATGCAGTGCGGTGTTTGAAATTAAATGAAATGAAATGAAATTTAATTTAATTTAATTTCAAACACCGCACTGCATAAAACATTCTCATAAGTAAAGATGCTACACAGTCAATAAAGCTACCACTGCTGCTTTGGTGAAAAACATACAACACAGTTTTTCCATAAATAATATATTGTGAAAATTAAGCCATCATTCTGCTATCTAGTTTAAAATGGGTCCCAGTCACTCAGACAAACTCTAGATAATGCAATGCTTCTATTAAATTTGTGTGAGAGTCGTCATTGGTAAGTAAATAATAGCAAATAGCTTTTTCACATATTACCAATGTATCAAGGACTGCAGAGGCGAGGACAATCGATAAATGGGGGGGTGGTGGGTTGTTCACATATTCATTTGTTTTAATCCGTTTTAACCACAATCTACATTGATTTCAATAGGAATTAAAAAACTTCAACCATGCATATATGAATATGCTCCCCCCCCAAATATCAATCTTGCGTGGTTTATGTGTATCCAATACCCTGGCTGACAAGGTGTCGTTGATTTCTTGAATCGGCATTTGAATCCATCATTCTGTCACAGGCAGTACAATGCACTATGAACAAAACCCAATATTGATCTATTTGCATGTTTGCAGATGTGGACGTCCACGTTGATTAAAAATTAAACGAGCTTACCTGTAAGTGAAGTTTGATTGGGATTCAACCGATCCATTGTGAAGGAACGACAGGATTACATTCATGAGATTGCGTCAGCGCCCATGTGATCAATTCTTAAAGCCTTTGTCGAGGTACTTAAATATAAATAGGGTGGGAGTAATAGAAATCATGAGTCATAAAATGGCAGATTTGGGTGGGAATGTAATCCCGTCGTTCCTTCACAATAGATCGGTAGAATCTCAATCAAACTTCACTTACAGGTGATACGCCAAAAGTCAACTTTTCTTGGTGGTTTCCTGGTTAGGTATGTTTGACAAGTTGTCAACAAAGAATGTCACGGTGTCATCTTACAATTGCATCATGCTCAAATTCAAACAGTAAATTGTTTGACACCTTTGACCAGATAATATTAGTAATTGGGCAGCTAACTTTTGGGTCAACTGTCGTAATGAAAGCTTTGCGTTTTCCGGCATTGATTTCAAATACTTCAACAAAATGTTCACATCCAGGTTTGGTTGTATCTGGGCAGACTCGGTCTTAGTTCAAATACCCCCTCGAAAAAACGATTAACTAATGGTGATTACCAACAGGTGTTGTACCAGACACTGATATGATAGTAGATAAGGCACTGCGCGCCGTATTAATACAGCGATATCCAGATCCCTTTTATACAATGTTAATAAGACCAATATAACATCCGTGATCTCGTTGGTCTCTTCATGCAGACCATGTTCAGCGGTGAACTTTAACCACTTTTTAAGTTAAACTTGATACTGCTGTTGAGTAGACGGGGCGAGAGACCACAATTATCTCAACAGCTTCACTAGTAATACCATGTCTCAACAAGGTTTGCTTGATAATATGCAAGCCACCAACTTCAGTCTGTGAGCTAGAGGATGTCGTGCATTGGGATTGTACGGCAGAACCAGAATATTGTCTTGATACGGAAGCAACACTGGATTTCCCACCATCAGTTTTGATAACCTGGGATACAAGGGTACCATTTGGGCACCACAACTATTCCAGTGGCCTTGTCCCCTTCTATCTTTTGTAATACCCTGTCAATAAGTGAAAATGGTGGAAACGCATAAAGTTTTAGATTGATCCAATTTAATGTAAATGCATCAACTGCAAATGCTCCAGGGTCTGGTTGTTATGATACATAACATTTGGTTTGAAATTTAGTCTCGAGGCAAATAAGTCTATATTAGGCTGAAAAAAATTGTTTCACAATTTTGGCAAACAGAGCTTGTTAAGATGCCACTCAGTTTGATCATGGAAATGTCTAGAAGCATAGTTAGCCTCAACATTCTCACTCCCTGGTAAGTGACATGCACTAAGCCAAATATTCCATGATAGACACCAATTGAAAACAATTGCTGTTCTCTCAATATACAGTGCAACTGTACAGTGCAAGAAGTAATTTGGTAAATACTCTAGGAGCACAATCTAAACAATAGGGCAGACATGTGAACTGAAATATCTGATTCCCACACAAATTTTAAGTATCTTTGATGTGATTTATAGATCAGTACTGAGTAATAAGCATCCCGGATATCTAAGGAGGCCATAAAACAGCTCGGTTTCATCATAGTAATCACGATGAAGGGATCTTTAAATGTCTATTGCGTACAAATTCATAGAATTTCTTCAAATTTAATATAATATGGAAAGACTCATCCTTTTTGGTGGTTAGGAAGATGGGTGAAATAAATTCTCCTCTTCATGCTGGCTTAATGAGATAACTCCTTTGCACAATAGATTATTAATTTCTGTTGAAACAATTCCATAAATTGATTTTCCTTATGGTAAAGACAAAGATTGAAATCCGTCAGTGAGACTTGAATGGGGGGTTAAGGGCATGCAACCTGAACGCCGAAATGCTTTATTGTATTTACTCTAAGACGCTATTTCTAGGCCACGTGTTTTAGAAGGGCAGCTTCCTGTTTCATGTGTCAATAAATGTCTTCAGTGAATGAAAACAGCAAAACTCGCTTAGCTGGACGAAATTTGCAAGTTGCCTCCCTAATGAACGCGGTTTCAAATTTTCTGCCAGTGTAATACACTTCATGACTGTCACGGGCTTGGAGAAGCGTTCCGAAAATATGCCATTGACTGAGTAGTCACATTTATCTGATGATCTACGGAAACGGAGTTTCTCAACCGAAAGTCGAATCTCTTTGAAAGAACTCTTAACTACGCATTTTGACTTGACCAATCATATAATGTGGGTGGGTGGCTCACCTCCCACCTGGTCCTTCGACCTGTTCATACTTCATTTTCAAAAATAGTTTATTTTTTTAATATATTACGTAGATAGAACAACTAAATAACATCAAGTATTGTACATAAATAAGTTTTTTTCATACATTTTGCTGTCTATAATAAGTAGAGAGTAGTGATTATTTATTTTGTCTCAAAAACGTAGCAAGATTGTTCAAAATTGCTCAATCATTGGTGTTCAGCTCGAAATGGTGAATTCTTTGGCAACATAAGACACCATCCTTGATAAGGCTGTACAGATGGTATGTTGTCATCATTCTCGTGAAGCTTATAACCCAGACATCCAGCAACTAATGCAGCCTCATCAGCTAAACCTGACGGATGTGAAAGAGTTAGCGGTACCGTGACAAGTCCACTTGTAAAATCACTGAAATCTGCAGGACTTTTTAAGTTTGCCATGAGCTGTGGGATCCATCCTTCGTAGAGCGAGGTCCTGAACCAAATCCTTCTTCGCTGACAATTTTTGACCACCATTCGCAATCAGGTTCACCACAGTAAGTTGCAAGCAGTTTCTTAAATATATTTTCCGCCAGTTTCCACCATTCTTGTGGTATCCCAACTCATGCTCAATCGGTTTAAGAAGATTTTGGAGTGCATCTAGTTTTCCAATAAGTTTCCTCCAATCTTCCTCAGTGCCAAGCATTTCAACAGCTGGAATACCACATGTCAAACACATTCTATAAAACAATAAAAATGAAACTGTTTCATCATTCATGTTATCACATAACGCATTGTATAAATTGTGGCCAATTGGTCTCATGCATATTTTGCAAGGACAATCCTGTCGCAGGAATAAATACATAAAAGTTGCCACCTGTATTCAAAGAACTCCTGTAATGAAGACATCAAAGTGATTTGGGATACAATCTTTTGCACTGGTGTGCTTGATGAGAAATCAGCAGATATCAGATCAACATAACCAGGAACTTTGACATTCTTTGATATTTCATGTGACATGGCATCAAAAAATGAAGAGTAGTTTACATCATAGATATTATTACAATTCACTTCTACTTCCAATGCTTTCTTGCCTGAAATTTGTTTAAAATTCATGAATAATGAAAGTGTATTTACAAGAATTTCAGTTCAGAAAGGGCATATGTGAGCCATCATTTCTAGGGGGACAGTTGATATTTTCCCGAACTCCCCAGATTTCAAATTACATGTCAAAATTTGTTTCACCAGTATATAATCTTCAAATTATCTTGAGATCCCCCGATGTTAATCATTGTAATTATTAACTATGCTATCCCTTCGATAGTGCTAGGATTCAAGTACATTAATAAACATACACTATGTCTAAAATCGGACTTCACAAATATTTGCATACATGCCAACCTTCGTGTTCAACAAACATCTTCCGTACGTTTTCATGTTTTGAATGTTTGTCAATGGCGATGGCGACCTTTCTGATGACAACAAACCACCAGTCTTCGGGAGACGTTCGCAGTTTCCAATGATTATTATAAGCCAACAAAATTGACGAAAATAAACCAACGTCTGCGCTTGAATAGATCAAATCCTCAGAACCCAACGTGACGCTTCGATCGCCAACATTTTCGCGAATGTTTTCGTTTTCTGTGTCTTTTTCACTTTGTTTAAGTTTTCTTTCCAAATCTTTAGCAGCTTCTTCAAAGAAATATTTGGCTTCGCGACGACGTCTCAAGTCGTTAGTCTCGTCTCTAATGAACGCGGTTTCAAATTTTCTGCCAGGGTAATACACTTCATGACTGTTACGGACTTCAAGATATGAAATGACTGTCACGGACTTCAAGATATGGAATGGCAGAGCTGTCTTATGCCTTGATATTTTGTTACGTCTTGTTAATTCATCATTATATGCGGTCCATTCGTCTTTATATGCAGTGATACTTTCGTTATATGCAGTCCATTTACATTATTTACTTTTCATTATACCTTAACTTATTATGTGGTTATTTCGTTATGTGGTTATTTCGTTATGTGGTAATTTCGTTATGTGGTAATTTCGTTATGTGGTAATTTCGTTATGTGGTAATTTCGTTATGTGGTTATTTCGTTATGTGGTTATTTCGTTACGTGGTAATTTCGTTATGTGGTAATTTCGTTATGTGGTTATTTCGTTATGTGGTAATTTCGTTATGTGGTAATTTCGTTATGTGGTTATTTTGTTATGTGGTTATTTCGTTATGTGGTAATTTCGTTATGTGGTTATTTCGTTAAGTGGTAATTTCGTTATGTGGTAATTTCGTTATGTGGTAATTTCGTTATGTGGTTATTTCGTTATGTGGTAATTTCGTTATGTTGTAATTTCGTTATGTGGTTATTTCATTTGTGGTCATTTTTATTTCTTCGTTATGTGATGTCTAACATGAAGTACCTTCGATTAACTGAAACACAGGCTCAAATTGAACCATTTGTAATTTGTAACAAACGATTTGTTCAACACGTTGTATAGCCAAATAGTCAATAGGCAATAGTATTTGCGTCGTGCGTCATTTTTGCCAGATATAATGGATAAAATATTAGAAAAGGCAGGTCTCTTGAGTTTGTTTGAGAGATTTGATGAAGAAAGGATTGAGCCTGACGTAGTTTTAGCTATGACGTAGTTTAGCAAGAAGCGTTCCAAAAATATGCCATGACTGAGTCGTCACGTTTATCAAATGATCTACGGAAACGGAGTTTCTCAACCGAAAGCCGAATCTTTTTGAAAGAACTCTTAACTCCCCATTTTGACTTGACCAATCATATAATGTGGGTAGGTGGCTCACCTACTACCTGTTCATACTTCATTTTCAAAAATAGTTTATTTTTTTGATATATTACGTAGATAGAACGACTAAATAACATCAAGTATTTTAAATAAATAAGTTTTTATCATACATTTTGCTGTCTATAATAAGTAGAGAGTAGTGATTATTTATTTTGTCTTAAAAACGTAGCAAGATTGTTCAAAATTGCTCAATCATTGGTGTTCGACTCGAAATGGTGAATTCTTTGGCAACATAAGACACCATCCTTGATAAGGCTGTACAGATGGTATGTTGTCATCATTCTCGTGAAGCTTATAACCCAGACATCCAGCAACTAATGCAGCCTCATCAGCTAAGCCTGACGGATGTGAAAGAGTAAGCGGTACCGTGACAAGTCCACTTGTAAAATCACTGAAATCTGCAGGACTTTTTAAGTTTGCCATGAACTGTGGGATCCATCCTTCATAGCGCCGAGGTCCTGAACCAAATCCTTCTTTGCTGACAATTTTTGACCACCATTCACAATCAGGTTTACCACAGTAAGTTGCAAGCAGTTTCTTAAATATATTTTCTGCCAGTCTCCACCATTCGAGTGGTATCCCCAACTCATGCTTAATCGGTTTAAGAAGATTTTGGAGTGCATCTAGTTTTTCAATAAGTTTCCTCCAATCTTCCTCAGTGCCAAGCATTTCAACAGCTGGAATCCCACACAAGAAATGCATTCTATAAAACAATGAAACTGTTTCATCATTCATGTTATGACATAAAGCATTGTATAAATTGTGACCAATTTGTTTCATGCAAATTTCGCAGAGACTGTGAAAATCCTGTAGCAGGAATAAATACATAAAAGTTGCCACCTGTATTCAAAGAACTCCTGTAATGAAGACATCAAAGTGATTTGCGATACAATCTTTTGCACTGGTGTGCTCGATGAGAAATCAGCAGATATCAGATCAACATAACCAGGAACTTTGACATTCTTTGATATTTCACAAGACATGGTGTCGAAAAAAGTGGTGTAGTTTACATCATAGATATTATTAGAATTCACTTTTACTTCCAAGGTTTTCTTGCCTGAAATTTGTTTAAAATTCATGAATAATGAAAGTGTATTTACAAGAATTTCAGTTCGGAAAGGGCATATGTGAGCCATCATTTCAAGAGGGGGGGCAGTTGATATTTTCCTGAACTCCCCAGATTTCAAATTACAAGTCAAAATTTGTTTCACTAGTATTTTTTACTGTACGAACGTTGAAAATTTGCCCAAATTTTTAATCTTTAAATCGTATTGAGCCCTCCAATGTTAATTATTTTAATTATTAACTGTGCTTGCCCATCGATTGTTCTATGATTCAAGTCGGACTTCATAAAATCGGACTTCACAAGTATTTTCATACATGCCAACCTTTGTGTTCAACAAACATCTTCCGTATTTTTTCATGTTTTGAATGTTTGTCAATGGCGATGGCGACCTTTCTGATGACAACAAACCACCAGTCTTCGGGAGACGTTCGCAGTTTCAAATGATTATTATAAGCCAACAAAATTGACGAAAATAAACCAACGTCTGCGCTTGAATGGATCAAATCTTCAGAACCCAACGTGACACTTCGATCGCCAACATTTTCGCGAGTGTTTTCGTTTTCTGTGTCTTTTTCACGTCGTTTGAGCTTTCTTTCCAAATTTTTAGCAGCCTCTTCAAAGAAATATTTGGCTTCGCGACGACGTCCTAAGTGGTTAGTCTCGCCTCCTAATGAACGAGGTTTCAAATCTTCAGCCAGAATAATACACTTCATGATTGTTACGGACAGAATGATCCAATACAAACTGTCAACTATAAAGTTGTAAACATAGTAAAGACAAAGAGACAAAACATTTGTTTTCGTACTCTTCTTTATATACGATAATAATGGCGAGCCCACAATCCATCGGGACGAATCGTGATCGGTCGTGCTTGACGTCATGAGTCTGACGTATGCAAATGCTTTAGCTTAAAAATATGGCGGCAAAGAATAGACGTGTGAAAGTTATAAGAGAAAAACTTGAGGTTAACACTATTTGGAAGACTTAAAATGCTTTTTTTGATAGCTTTTCAGTATACGTACTTATGTTATGTTTGTATTGAGGAGTTGAACCCGGGGAAGAGTGATTGAATAAGAGATTTTTTCTACTAGGCCCTTTGTTGTCCATATGTTGAAAATGTTGATGAATCTTGGATGTCCGAGTTGCTTTTTAAACCGGGAGAACCGAGGCTACGTCTAATTCAGTGGCTTCTTTCCAAGTAAGTGGTTATTGATGCATTTCACTGCTGTATTAAATGAATAGCAGAGTTGAATAGAACAAATATACAAACAAATAACTTAAATAACTTGGGAGTATTTATAGATGACTTGCCTAGTGTATGGAATAATCTGGCAGGCAGATTGATCTCAAGAGAGGTTCACCATTGTTGCTAGAGTCGGTCAAAACCACTCGACCAAATCTGCCTGCTGGCAAAATGCAAACAAGGCAAGTCGTCTATTTAATACCATGTTTCATAATCAAGTACTGGCAAGCCTGGCCGGTACCACAACTTTTTTTATAATCCTAACCTGATTTTTAATGGCCATAAACTGCAAAGTTTATAAACTGCACACATAACATTTGAATTTGAATGTATAAAAGCCTAGTTTTCTCAAAATTAGACACCCAAGATCTCTTTTGTGCAGTACAAACTTTCCAGTCTGGTTTTTGGCAGTCTTTGTGGCAGAGTATTATACCATTGTGCCTAAACTTGTTAGACATTCAATAAAACTTAATGTGGTCATGCATTTCACCAACTAGGTTTGATCCTCAGCTTGAAGAACTTTTAGACAGTCATCATGCGGTTTTGAGCAACTTATCGGATTCCAGAGTTTCAAGTATGTAAAATTAAAATGCTTTGAAAATATTACAATGTATGCATGTCTATCAATCCAAAGTAAAAGGTTTTTTGTTTCAAATTGTTCTAGAGTTGTTATTCTGTGCAAATTTATTGGCTCTTTGTCGTGATGATGACGTTGACCTTATAACTGTAAGTATTGACACTTCATGAGAGAAGTTAAATAGATTCCAGGGGAGGTAGGACCTTAACATCACCTCATGGAATCTAACCTTCTTTAACATAATGTTCATCCAATAAAATATGAAGATGGTTCGAAGTACTTAGATTTTGTCCTTGAAAATGTTTAATGGCAGTTAAATTTGCTTATTTCATCTTGTAAAGGGAAAATCCTCAAAATCCAAGCAACTGGCTTTATATGAACATTTAATTGATCTCTTGTTCATTGTGGAAGACCTTTCTCATCCATCTGTAAATGCTCGTCTTAAATCAGAAGGCAGCTACAGCCAACCAGTGTAAGTAGTATTGCACATATTACTTTTGTCCCCTCCCCTCCCCTCTCAATTACCCGTCTGCCAATGGAGTAATTGCAGCCAACCAGTGTAAGTAGTATTGCATATATTACTTTTGTCCCACCCCCTCCCCCCTCAATAACCCATCTGCCAATGGAGTAATTGCAGTCAACCAGTGTAAGTAGTATTGCATATATTACTTTTGTCCCACCCCCCCCTCAATAACCCATATGCCAATGGAGTAATTGCAGTCAACCAGTATATTTTTTGGGATGTGGCTTAACACCCACTTTTGCCCCTTCCCTCCTTGTTAAAATTTGTCTGGCTAAAAGTTTGTAGCATGAATCAAGGCTGTAAACACTATTGGATGCTTTATTGAAATTCACATAGCTTGTATCTTTCCATGGATTGATTTAAGGGAGGGGTGCAGGGGCTGTGCATCCCCTAGCCTTGGCTAGAAGTTGTGCAAATTTCGCCACAAAATATTAATATAACAACCATTTAAACTAACACAACTGTCAAACATTATATCTCTAAGGGTCTCAAATCAAACCCACAAAAAATCTCACATGTGAATGACATAATGACACCCATGAAGAAGCCACCAAAATTTAATCCAAACTAGACTGACAAAACGACGTCTTATAAAAACCACAGCAGGACCTCCACAAAATCCCTTTCGATACATCCTTGTATCTTTCTCTTGCAGAAAGATATTGGAAATCGTTGCATCAGACGCATGCGCGTATCTGGATGCTGTGTGTCAAACTGAGACACTTGATGAAATATTTAAGTCCAAGATTCACTTGTTCCCGCCTGATATCGAGAAGAAACTGGTTTCTATGACTGCTGACGAGACTGACAGGTTAATAAATCGTTAGGTGCAACAAAATATAGTATTTTTTGTTCTGGTTACGAGATGGTGGTTAAAACGCTCTTTAAAGCAGTTGGGGCTCATCACCCCTCAAGATTTAAGCTTATGGAGAGAATTTCTTTTAAAATTGTAGGTTATTTCATACACCAGAAATCAATGAGCTTACTGCCCAGGCAAATGTCATTGAAGGAGAGTTGAATAAACAAAGTGAGATTCTTAATGATCTTCAAACTAAGGTGAATGTTTAATTTTATTTTTCTGCTCATTTTCTGCAACTGTATATTTTAAAGCAATCTAAAATTTGAGATTTGTGGTGGACAATTTGTGGAGGAGTTTAGGGAAAGGGTCTGCACTTCTTTGAGCCTTTGCTTGAGGGGGTGCAGGAGGGTTTTAGGGGAGAGGTATCTGCACTTCTTAGAGCCTTGGTTAGAGAGTGTACAGGGGGGTTTAGGGGAGGGGTATGCACTTCTTTGAGCCTTAGTTAGAGGGTGTACAGGAGGGGCTTAGAGGAGGGGTCTGCACTTCTTTGAGCCTTGGTTAGAGGGTGTACAGGAGGGTTTAGGGAGGGTCTGCACTTCTTTGAGCCTTGGTTGGAGGGTGTACAGGAGGGGTTTAAGGGAGGGGTATGCGCTCCTTTGATCATTGGTTAGATGGGGTGCAGGAGGGGCTACCTACAAAATATTAAAACACCTAAGTGTTCAGCAAAAGTAATCTGTAATTGTTATTAATGTTTAATGGAGGTCACTTACAAAATATCCCAATCTTTAGAATAACGTACCTGGTATCAGAAATTAATAAGAAAAAGTCCAGCATGGTACAGCAATAGTCGATACTTAAATCTCCTCCAAACTAGACCCCCCCCTCTTCTACGAAAACATCGTTAATCCATCCATCGTTTTACAAACATATTTTTCCCGTAGTGCGTTATTGGTGATGATGCAGAAAGTTTGAGCAATGTCAGCAGAACGCTATCTCTTACGATGTCCACACTGTCTCAAACACTTGAAACGTTTTATCATTGTTATGAAACTGAGATAAAACAATGGTCGATAAGAGAGAAACCACACTTATCTGGTGGGTTATTGACTATCTCTTCTAAATGTACCAGTATTGTAATGTTCATCTTGTTGGTGGGTTATTGAATATCTCTTCTAAATGTACCAGTATTGTAATGTTCATCTTGTTGGTAGGTTATTGAATATCTCTTCTAAATGTACCAGTATTGTAATGTTCATCTTGTTGGTGGGTTATTGAATATCTCTTCTAAATGTACCAGTATTGTAATGTTCATCTTGTTGGTGGGTTATTGAATTTCTCTTCTAAATGTACCAGTATTGTAACGTTCATCTTGTGGACTATCGATGTTTTTCCTCCTGTGGAAAAGTGTTCCAAGATGGTTTTTTTTAACAAAATTACTCGAAGGAAAATTTTCGTTTCTCGCAGAAAGTGTTTCGAAATTATTTATAGAAGAGATTTTAAATATATGGGATGCGAAATTGTTAACCCAGACGGCTTGGGTTTTGACATACGTTCGAGCATTTATTTTCATGTGCAAATATGATTTTGTGCTTTATTTGCTAATTTATATTTTTTATATGTTGCCTATAGAACTTGGTATCGTTTTTAAACGAATATTCATACTGCTTGATAAACTTCTTCAGGTAAATCTTCTTCTTTTTCCTTGTCTTGCTTCATGTCGTTTTAAAACTGCTATATTTAATCATTTACACTAATTTTCCTGTACATACTTTTAGATATTATCCAAGTTGGAGTTAACGAAGATGAGCTATCTGAAAATAAATGGTTTAGAAACATTCGACGGGGAAAGGAACACAGGTATACTAAATTGATTTCCACTCAATCCGCTTTAGTCATTATTTTGTATTTCTTGAAGATATTTCATGGACCTTTATTTCTAGATCATTCATTACCATATGGGCAAGTCGCGTTGAACAAACTAAATGATTTCATCAACACACTGGAGCAATCGTTAAAAAGGAAAACTGAAGTTGAATATGACGATTCTGATTCACTCTAATACTTTTCTATGGCGTCTTACTCTCACATTGTGCCAAGGTAGGACAATAATTTTCTATACATTCAGGAGTGGTATAATTGCATAATTCTCTTTTAATTCAGTCGACAAATCATTGATCAGGTGTGTGCATTATACGTAGTGGTAAAGCGCATGCGCATATCAGGAGATAGATTTTAAATTTCGGTGGGACTAGAAAAAATGGTAAGACTTGTGAATGCGAGTTTGTAGTATTTGTTCCTTGTAAGTTATCATTTGTTGACACATTGCCTCTAACCAACTTCGGTATGTTTTAATCTAACGATTGTCTTTTCCAATGCGTTTTTACCTTGGTATCTTTCTCCGAGGGATTTTGCTCGGTGGTCTTTACCAGAAGTTCTTTACCCGAGCGTCTTTCTCCGAGGGATTTTACTCGGTGGTCTTTACCTGGTGGTCTATACTCAAAATTTTCTCCTAAAGTCTTCACCCGAATCTTGATCTGTAAGCTTTCACCTTGTGTTGTTAATTTCAGAGTCTTTACCTGGAGGTGTTTACCTCAGGATATTTACCTTGGAGATGTTTACCCCAGAGTCTTTACTTGTGGAGGTGTTTGCCTCAGACTCTTTACCTGGAGATGTTTACCCCAGAGTCTTTACTTGTGGAGGTGTTTGCCTCAGACTCTTTACCTGAAGATGTTTACCCCAGAGTCTTTACTTGTGGAGGTGTTTGCCTCAGACTCTTTACCTGGAGATGTTTACCCCAGAGTCTTTACTAGTGGAGGTGTTTACCTCAGACTCTTTACCTGGAGATGTTTACCCCAGAGTCTTTACCTGTGGAGGTGTTTACCTCAGGATATTTACCCTGGAGATGTTTACCCCAGAGTCTTTACCTGTGGAGGTGTTTACCTCAGACTCTTTACCTGGAGATGTTTACCCCAGAGTCTTTACCTGTGGAGGTGTTTACCTCAGGATATTTACCTGGAGGTGTTTACCCCAGAGTCTTTACCTGTGGAGGTGTTTACCTCAGACTCTTTACCTGGAGATGTTTACCCCAGAGTCTTTACCTGTGGAGGTGTTTACCTCAGACTCTTTACCTGGAGATGTTTACCCCAGAGTCTTTACCTGTGGAGGTGTTTACCTCAGACTCTTTACCTGGAGATGTTTACCCCAGAGTCTTTACCTGTGGAGGTGTTTACCTCAGACTCTTTACCTGGAGATGTTTACCCCAGAGTCTTTACCTGTGGAGGTGTTTACCTCAGACTCTTTACCTGGAGTTGTTTACCCCAGAGTCTTTACCTGTGGAGGTGTTTGCCTCAGACTCTTTACCTGGAGATGTTTACCCCAGAGTCTTTACTTGTGGAGGTGTTTGCCTCAGACTCTTTACCTGGAGATGTTTACCCCAGAGTCTTTACTTGTGGAGGTGTTTACCTCAGACTCTTTACCTGGAGATGTTTACCCCAGAGTCTTTACCTGTGGAGGTGTTTACCTCAGACTCTTTACCTGGAGATGTTTACCCCAGAGTCTTTACCTGTGGAGGTGTTTACCTCAGGATATTTACCTGGAGGTGTTTACCCCAGAGTCTTTACCTGTGGAGGTGTTTACCTCAGACTCTTTACCTGGAGATGTTTACCCCAGAGTCTTTACCTGTGGAGGTTTTACCTCAGACTCTTTACCTGGAGATGTTTACCCCAGAGTCTTTACCTGGAGGTGTTTACCTCAGGATATTTACCTGGAGGTGTTTACCCCAGAGTCTTTACCTGTGGAGGTGTTTACCTCAGACTCTTTACCTGGAGATGTTTACCCCAGAGTCTTTACCTGTGGAGGTGTTTACCTCAGACTCTTTACCTGGAGATGTTTACCCCAGAGTCTTTACTTGTGGAGGTGTTTACCTCAGACTCTTTACCTGGAGATGTTTACCCCAGAGTCTTTACCTGGAGGTGTTTACCTCAGGATATTTACCTGGAGGTGTTTACCCCAGAGTCTTTACCTGGAGATGTTTACCCCAGAGTCTTTACCTGTGGAGGTGTTTACCTCAGACTCTTTACCTGGAGATGTTTACCTCAGAGTCTTTACCTGTGGAGGTGTTTACCTCAGGATATTTACCTTGGAGATTTTACCCCAGAGTCTTTACCTGTGGAGGTGTTTACCTCAGACTCTTTACCTGGAGATGTTTACCCCAGAGTCTTTACCTGTGGAGGTGTTTACCTCAGGATATTTACCTGGAGATGTTTACCCCAGAGTCTTTACCTGTGGAGGTGTTTACCTCAGACTCTTTACCTGGAGATGTTTACCCCAGAGTCTTTACTTGTGGAGGTGTTTGCCTCAGACTCTTTACCTGGAGATGTTTACCCCAGAGTCTTTACTTGTGGAGGTGTTTGCCTCAGACTCTTTACCTGGAGATGTTTACCCCAGAGTCTTTACTTGTGGAGGTGTTTACCTCAGACTCTTTACCTGGAGATGTTTACCCCAGAGTCTTTACCTGTGGAGGTGTTTACCTCAGGATATTTACCCTGGATATGTTTACCCCAGAGTCTTTACCTGTGGAGGTGTTTACCTCAGACTCTTTACCTGGAGATGTTTACCCCAGAGTCTTTACCTGGAGGTGTTTACCTCAGGATATTTACCTGGAGGTGTTTACCCCAGAGTCTTTACCTGTGGAGGTGTTTACCTCAGACTCTTTACCTGGAGATGTTTACCCCAGAGTCTTTACCTGGAGGTGTTTACCTCAGACTCTTTACCTGGAGATGTTTACCCCAGAGTCTTTACTTGTGGAGGTGTTTACCTCAGACTCTTTACCTGGAGATGTTTACCCCAGAGTCTTTACCTGGAGGTGTTTACCTCAGGATATTTACCTGGAGGTGTTTACCCCAGAGTCTTTACCTGGAGATGTTTACCCCAGAGTCTTTACCTGGAGGTGTTTACCTCAGACTCTTTACCTGGAGTTGTTTACCCCAGAGTCTTTACCTGTGGACGTGTTTACCTCAGACTCTTTACCTGGAGATGTTTACCTCAGAGTCTTTACCTGTGGAGGTGTTTACCTCAGACTCTTTACCTGGAGATGTTTACCCCAGAGTCTTTACTTGTGGAGGTGTTTACCTCAGACTCTTTACCTGGAGGTGTTTACCCCAGAGTCTTTACCTGTGGAGGTGTTTACCTCAGGATATTTACCTGGAGATGTTTATCCCAGAGTCTTTACCTGTGGAGGTGTTTACCTCAGACTCTTTACCTGGAGATGTTTACCCCAGAGTCTTTACTTGTGGAGGTGTTTACCTCAGACTCTTTACCTGGAGATGTTTACCCCAGAGTCTTTACCTGTGGAGGTTTTTACCTCAGGATATTTACCCTGGAGATGTTTACCCCAGAGTCTTTACCTGAGGAGGTGTTTACCTCAGACTCTTTACCTGGAGATGTTTACCCCAGAGTCTTTACCTGGAGGTGTTTACCTCAGGATATTTACCTTGGAGATGTTTACCCCAGGATCTTTACATCCCAGACTCTTTACCTGGTAGTGTTTACCCCAGAATCTTTACCCTGGAGGGGTTTATCTTAGGGTCTTTACCCTGAGGTGTTTACCCAGAGTTTTACTCTGGAGATGTTTACCAGACTCTTTACCTGGAAGTGTTTACCCCAGGATCTTTACCCTGAAGGTGTTTAACTCTGGTTATTTTCTTTGACTTTCGTCAAGCAGTAGTAGAAAGGGAGGCACTTTAAAATACTCTTCAAAAAACAAATACTTCTGCATAGAAGAAGCGCTCTAATTTTACGCTCAGTGGTCAAAACCTTTCAAAGAATAATATGCAGTGTCTGCAGGCGCATCATGTTGAGAGACGCGCTTGAAATCAACTCGAAGTCAAACACATGTTCAACGTTATTGTGTTTGCATTTGATGAGCAGCTTGTTTTAAGTGATTAATGGCAGTAACGACTTGAATTTTTTTGAAAGGAATAATGCCGTTCATATAGTTACGTTCAAGGCAATTATCGATGAATGAAACCATGTGTTCGTAGCGCTCATGTCAGTATACGACACACTCAGTTACTATAAATATACGAAATACAACATTATCGTTCGTACAGACATATGGGAACGCGAGTTTAAGTAAACATCCGACTGTATGCCACAAATATCGTGTGTCCTCTAAGTAATTTTTAAGTGCATTTGACAAACAAAGTTCGGCCGGAGCCAATAGAAAAACACCAATAGCACTTTATTCAACCTTGGTGGCATACATTTACATTGGCAAAGTGTAATAAAAAGGTTGAATGACGTTACGGTTCAGTGCAATCTTACTGATATCAACTTCAGATATGGTTTGTTTTTGAACGAATCAGCGCATATATTTTTTCATTGCGGAGAAGAAAGTCGTCTAGATTTTCCATTAAAGACATATCAGATGCAAGATGTCGAGTGTGGACGAAGAGCCACGGAATATAATGAAGACGAAGAAATTTTGGAAGGATATTACTGGAGAATATTTTGCTACATGTCTCTTAGTGTATGCCATCACGTCTGTATGTGATGTCGAGACAAATGATGACTATCTTGAATACTCACTGGTTTATGGCATGGCTACAGCCATTTTGGTTCAATGCTTTGGTGGCTTTTTAAACCCGGCGTTGGCAGTTGCCTTCACTTCTACCGGTCGACTACCCTTAACCAAAGGTGTTTTATGATCATCGTCGAAGTTCTCGGAGGTAATTTCGTTTGTGTTATTTTTGTACTGTTTAAAGTAGTATTCATTAATACAATAGCAATGTTTTCATGTTGTTATTAAGATAAATAATGATACAATAACTGGTCACGGTGCTAGATATTAAGAACATCTTACATGGCGCTTGTATTCTTTTATTTTGATATAACAGACAACATTAAGCAGGTTGTTGCTATTGGAAGAAAGCGATGATTTTTTAGTATGATAAAGTAAAGGAATTATGGCACTCCAGTATATGCTTCAGGTTTATAACTTCCTATAGCATTGAATGACACATGTTTTAATCATTAGTTCTTCAAGGCCGCCATAAATGCCCTCTCACAGTTTGAAAATTTAGTATACGCATCTGTGAATCATTTAATTTATTTTGTTCTCACGCTCGAAGCTCAAATGTCGCGTTATATTCGTTCAATTTTAGAAGCACAGTAATTTGTCATTCATTTCGAACTGCTTTTCTATGATTTATTAATGATCCGTGAAATCTTTTAACAGTTATCGATGTATGTCATCGACACCGGTGATTTGACATAAAAACTCAAAACTTGCATTTAACACCCGTTGCGTTTGGTGAGATTTTTCATTTTCCATATGTTGACATTTGGCAATCGTGGATAGGTCGGCATCCATGTTACGTTAATGTTGTCTGAGCCAGAGCCCTAGTTTGAGCTACCTAACCGCCACCGGTTTCAAGGTGTCAGCTTGCTGCATTGTAATTAAACCCTTTGTTAAAATATTTATACAGCAGCCTAACCATTTTTAACTTACAACGGCTCAACAATTTCAAAATACAGATACTCAACAATTTTAAAATACAGATACTCAACAATTTCAAAATACAGTTGCTCAACAATTTTAACTTCAATGTTATTGCTTTTGAAGTCGTGTCGAGTTTCGTTCTTGATAAAAATCGAGGTGTTTTTTTTTTTGGACCCGTTAGGTATATCTGGTGCAGGGTTAACGTACATGTTAACACCGCCATCTTTACGTTTCAATCTTGGTGATACATTTCTTCACGATGATGTGTCAGCAATCCAGGGACTTTTCATCGAGTTTATTCTCACGCTTATTTTCACATTAAGCGTTTATGCTGCCACGGACATAAGACATTCCAAAGGTTATCTGAGGTCTCTTTTCTATGGTTTTGCGGTGACGCTTTGCAGCTTAATCGGGGTGAGTATTTTGGTTTTGTCCGCTTTACTTTTTGTCGAGGAATCCGCTCCTCGCGTGGCTCACTAACACACTCTTCGTTTTTAATCTTTTATTTATTTTACAAGCGACGAATCTATCACTGGTGTATTTCTACGCTATATATGTGTAAGAATTAGTTATTTACGTCTATACCAACGGTAATTACTGCAAAACATAAGTCGAGCTTTCCTTTTACGTCATTAGCACTACTCACTTTTTCAACAAAAAAGAAGAATGAACTTAACAAACAAAGAACTCACAAAACGTACTTAAAATAAAGAAATGTTAACGGGAAACTGACTTAGTTACCATCTTTTCATTGCCATGCCGAAAAGAATTCAATAGCCCACACTTTTCGTATTTTCCTAAACTCTGTCGCCAGTGGAAAATCATGAAGAACGACTTTTCCTGTATGTTTTTACGCATGCTGCCTAATTTTTTTCCAGCTGTTTACTTTAAGAAGTGGATTAGGTATTACATTTTATGTATGTACTCCATCTACAAATCTCGTTTTTTAATTGGTATGAAGCTAATTTATGTGTGTGTATAAATCAACATTATGTATTTATTATCTTCTGTCTCTTTCGTGTTTCTCATCATCCTCAACCAATTCAATAACCTCATTGCTTTCAACTAGTCAAAAACCACAAGATGCAGCATCAACCCTGCACGGTCTTTTGGACCAGCGGTTATTCGTGAACTTTCTGGAATGAGCAAGGGGAGAAGACAGTGGCAACAACATTGGGTAACGCGCTAATCTTTCGACCTATATAACCTTGTGTATTCCATTGTGTTGCTTAATGATGTTGTTGGTCATGATTGGAATTCAATTATTTCCATAATTTCTTAAAAGCACTATACATATTAAACATTTCAAGTTGACGTCAATGTCTTTAGAGTAAACATGGTTTGGCATTCAGTACAAGAATAACAAGAATAATTATGATTTCTATTTACAGCTATATATATGTATTATAAGTGAGAGGTGTCGAATTGCTAGATGATGGAATTATTTACAAGTTGAATGTTGTTGTTGTTGTTGTTCGTCCATCGCAAGCGAGGATGACCTTGACCAGTTAACTCAAGAACTAGAAGATTGGGTACGGTGAGTTCTGAGGTGGCTAATGAGCCCAATCTTGGCACGGAATGTTCTTGAACACGAAGGGCAAACCAGAGATGCATCTGATGTTGAAGCACTGGCTGCTCTTGATTTCCAATATCTTGAATATCGTGCTGATGTGATGTATTTGTTTATTGAGGTTCGATTTGAGTTTTTTTTTATGTCGAGCGCTACATAAAAAAACTCATCACAATCAGCACGATATTCAACTTGTAAATAATTCCATCATCTAGTAATTCGATACCTCTCACTATAAGTATAGCTGTAAATAGAAATCATAACTATTGCTTGTACTGAAGATGGCATAAGCAGACCAAAACATGTTTACTCCAAAGAAAATTGTCGTCCACTTGAAATGCTTAATTCAATTATTGAAATGCTTAATTCAATTATTGAAATGCATTTTTATTGAATTTTTAGATTTATTGGATAGGACCAATTGGTGGTTCCCTGATGGCCGTAGTTGTTCAATACTTTTTATATTCAACACCTGGGGAGAAGCACGATGTTTCTGCTCGAAATAAGCGATCGTTTTGCAAAGAAAAAGAATACAGGAAAACTTCAACAAGGGATGATCGCCTTCCACAACATGAAGGGCATTCTGTTGGCGTCTGATTTGAGAAATCTCAGACGGCCTTTTATTTCATATGTCGTCATGTTATTATGACGACACTGACATCAAAGTTATGTTTGCAGTTTGGTTTAAGTTGCGTTGGAAAGCGGCTGTGACTTTCACGTGCCCATGATGCATCTTGTTGACTGACGGTAGTTTTTCATCCCTGTAGATAAGGATATACCGTGATGCATCTTGTTCGTAGACGGCACTCTTCATCTTCTTCACCTCTACTGATTAGGATATATCATGATGCATCTTGTTGATAGAGGACAATTGTTCGTATCTTTATCTCTACAGATTAGGATGTACCATGATGCATCTTGTTGATAGAGGACAATTGTTCGTATCTTTATCTCTACAGATTAGGATATACCATGATGCATCTTGTTGATAGAGGACAATTGTTCGTATCTTCATCTCTACAGATTAGGATATACCATGATGCATCTTGTTGATAGAGGACAATTGTTCGTATCTTCATCTCTACAGATTAGGATATACCATGATGCATCTTGTTGATAGAGGACAATTGTTCGTATCTTCATCTCTACAGATTAGGATATACCATGATGCATCTTGCTGATAGAATACAATTGTTCATGTCTTTATCTCTACAGATGGGGATGTACGATGATGCACAAATAGAGGACACTTCCTTCTTTTTATGGAACTGTTTCTGTTCGGCTTTTACTTGCTACCGAGAATGAGGAGCAGTAATGTTAGATTGCATCTGGGAATTTTCAGATTAAAGAATTGGTGCGTGATATGATAAATGTAATTTGTAAAAATAGAACGAGAATGTGCTCAAAATAATATTGTTATTGCAGTTGAAAAATGAAATACTGCGATTTGTTTGGTCAAAAAAACGAACAATAAAGGTCTTATTTGGGATGTCCAGTTGTTTGTGTTTTTTTTTTGATTGCTCAAATTTAAATGAACTGACATTTTCACGCAAAGACTGTAAGAAAAGTTTAATGAATAATTGCTGGGCATGGAGCAAATTATTACACATAAGAAAAAAAGAATGATATTTACACATATTCTCTGCACACAATACCATGGCGAATCATGTTGTCAGACAAAAAAATTAGCAAATCTGCATGACGTCAGCACTTCAATTGACTATAAAATAACAACCGTCAAGGATGTAGAAACGTCAATCAACACAAACTCCTACAGTCCTTCTCATAACTGTTCAAACCCTTATGATCTGCATCTAGAAACATGTAATCATATTCCCATTTTCGAACCATTCACTTTGATAATATTTATGATTATAATAATCCATATATCAACGACAAACAAACAATCGGCGAATGTTTGGCTGAAGTGTAGATCGTGTACAAATGAACAAACTTTTTCTGAACATACATAGTCTAGATTGAACTACATATTGCTTAATAGCAAAGATGCATAACAGTATTTTATTTCTAGAAGTGAAACCATTCAGTTATTAAAATTTTATCATCAGTTGTTGCCAAGACCATCCAAGCAATTTGTTGTTCGTTTATAAAGGTTGAAAATCATTCAATTTGCATCTCACCTCACCTTCCCATTTTCAATCGTTTGCTCTTTTCGAGACCAAATACTTTACTTATTATCATCGTAGTTTGCCATATTTCTTTTCATAATATCCATGCACGGTCCTAGCAATCGTTCGAACGTGTCAACGTCGAGTTTAGCGCATTTCACTTTGCCTTTAGCATAGACATAAGCGGATCGTGCTTGATTCATTATTAACGCCATTTCGCCAAAATAATCACCCTTCTTCAATACGGATACATCCTTGCTTTGTTTTCCTTGTCCGAACACGATACGTATGTTACCATCTTCGACGAAATACATGCAGTCGGCGTTGTCTCCTTCCTGGATTATGCATTCGCTGTCCTGGAAAGTGATGCTCTCCAGAGCGTCTGCAAGATTTGCGCGTTCATAGTCTGTCAGCTCGGAGAGCATCGGTACTCCTTGCAATAGTGACTCGTACGATCTCCGCTTTCGTGCGGCCGCGCCTACAACTATGCTTCGAAATACGGCCTGATCCAAGGCCCACAGTATACCTTCAGACTGAGCTATAATTGTCGCGTTTCTAGGGCAGTTATACATCAACGCTAATTCACCAAAACTTCCAGCATCGTGGAACGTGTGAACCTTAGTGTTTTCGAGGTCTCGTGTGTTGACAAGGACATCGTACGTTCCAAGTTCGATCACGTAAAAGTTGTCACCATCGTCACCTTCTTTTATTACCTCTTCTCCCTTTTGTACCTTTCTTTCGAACATTGCGTCAAGAATCTCGTGGATCTGTTCATGTTCGCACGCTTTGAATAGCAATATGTTCTTCATAGCATGTTTCAATCGATTTCTCTGTTCTTCTGTCTTGGGATGAAAAACTTTTTTTTCTTGTTTGTTTTCCTTGTTTGGATCGTAAGTTTCTGCGGCAACTGCGCTTCGTCTTCCTCTTTGGGGCATTCGTACTGGCAACGCCATTTCATCGTCAGAATCGGCCATTTCCTCAGCAGATCTGTTGTCTCGAGTGGTTGTCACCTTTACCTCTGCGTTTGCCTGTTGTGCCGCTGGCATGCTATTGATTTCGTTCTGATTGACGTTGTTGCCATGTTGACTAAGTTTCAATTTTGTAAAATGTTCAACGGCAAAGCTGGCAATATCATCGGGTTTTTCTATAAGGTACTGTACGACAAAGTCTTGCAGACATTCATGTAGACTTTGCGGGACGCGGATTCTATCTTCAAAAGAATCGCTCATCATCAAACAAGGGCAGCTGTATTGGTGATTCTGTGTCTCTGCTATTCTACTTGAAATTCGGCAGTTTCGTTTCGACGTAAAAATTAAGCGCTATGATATGTTTTAAAACCGTCATTCGCTTACCACTCTTTCAAATTGAACACGAACATTTTGTCTCCGTGCTTTGATTGGAAACGCAAGAAAACCGAATGCAAAGTAATCTTGTGCTTTTGATTAGATACACCTGTATGTTCTCTTCTAATACATCCTGTATTGTTTCACGAGACAAATGAACAAATTGGGTCAACACATGGTCACGAGCAGACGCTTAAGTCTTTTTTTTTGTCGGAGATGCGTCGAATCTCAAAACGGGTACCTTAATTGCACGATTTTTCAATCGTATTCATTAGCTGATGAACGCTACGTCAGACAGTTTCAAATGAGTTGCTAAGAGAAATGCACATGAGCAACACTTCAACTTGAACGAACTACATAAAGTCGCTTGACGGCGTTGACATTGCATTTCAGTACGTCTGCTCTACTTTATAATTTATATTCTTCCATAACGACGGGGTGTCAATTTGCTCACGTTGTTTAAAAACACTGCAAAGGGTTCGCTTTAGGTCGTGGTCTTGTTTATGGATTGTTTTAGTGTGCACTAAGTTTGTCATTGCTAATATATTATATCCATGATCATGGGCGTGTTTAAATTTGCCTTATCACTGAGGATGTCGGTCTTTTGATGAAAACAGATAATGACGCATACCTGAAAAACAACATTGATTAGTTTTCTATCTTATGTATACTTGTATTACTCATTACTCAATCAATATCTAAACTTTTGCATTTTGTTTGTAAACCGAAAAAAGAATACGTGCTTCACGACGACGATAGAAATCACTATATAGCTGCAAAACAAAAAAGTTCAATTTTTCTCTTTCGTGTTGCCCCCTAAACGTTACAGCATATATTGCGCTTGCTGTTTCTTCGAAAGAATGAAATCTTGGTTTGGTAAAATTTTAAAGAATTGCTAAATTGTAGATAGTCATGGCATCGTTATTAATACCTGTTAAATTGTTATTAAATGCGTAGACACTGCACGTGTTGGGGTCTGACATCTCATTGTAGCTAATGACAGATATAAACCTTAAAAGGGTCATACTTAGAACATTAATTAATGTGTGAATTTCATATATTCTGTTATGCCTGGACTGATTTCTTCGGAAAGTGAATTAGCTCGCAAAAGAAATCATTTTGGCACAACTGAACATATAAATAAACACCCCTCACCCCCTCACCCCTCCTCCCCCAATTTATGTTTTAGCTTCGGCCCTTAACTTTATTATAAGAAAACGGACGTAGGTCACGTGCTCGTCAGTAAAACCATTGCTGTCGAACTACCCCTGGCCCTCTACCTCCTGCCATATGCCTATTAAAAGTGTCCCCATCCCCCCGTCCTCTCCATCGATTATTCAAAATGACAAGATACTTTATCGCGATGGAGGGAATCCATTAGTTGACAGCATCGAAAATTAGTTTGACGAAATTATATTAATTGCCCTTGGTTTCATGTTAACAAATGTCAAACGACTGAATTTTTTTCTACGCTATTTTTGCTATTTCCCGATTAAAACGTGCGTTTCTTTCATAATATCTGTGTTGTTCTTTTAATAATCCCTATTGAACGGAAGGATCAGGCGAGCACTTTTCCACAAAAACTCCATTTTTTTCTAATGTTCGCGTGATTATGTATCGTACATTAATGGCTGCGAGACTCGTGTTTTGCTTCAGTTTGTTGTTTAAATTCATTTTATAAAAATAACATAATCTTCGTCAACGGAGATATAAGTTGAGTATTGTCACTTGTAAATTAAGCATGTTTCCCTAAAGTAAGCTTTAAGCCCGGTTTCCATACGTCGTAAGCATCGTCTTTTTTATTTCAAATTTGTCGGAGAAACAGAGGCGATTATCGTTCATTACGTCAAGGAGTTAAATTCGCAAGGAGTACTCACTTTTGCCATTTTAAGACTTTTATCTAAACGTTATCTGTATCTTCGGATTTGAGCATTTTTGAGAGTATTGTACTGTTGTATATCCTACTATAATGTCAATAATTATATGCTTTGGTTAGTGTAAAGTAGTATGGTTAGCCTATATAGCGCCCAACATGCTGGGCCGTTGCTAGAACGTTAATTTTTTTGGGGGGGGGTGGTTATGTCCTACTGGTTTTTTTAGAAAGCCAAATATGATTCAAAAGAAATGGGTCGGGCACTACTGAATATATGAATCAACCCCCCCCCCTTTAATTAACGTTCTAGCTATGGCCCTGCCAACTCGAATCAACAGAAAGCCAGGTGTTGTTACATATTGAACAATTTGATAATGACGACAGGATGGAAGTTGCATGTGTTTGTTTTAGATGTTATTAAATATGTGAGCGCGCATCATATCATTTGGGATTTTTTTAATGTTTTTTTTTCTTTCCGGGAGATTCCGCTATCTTTCTACAAATTATGTTATCAATGCAAGCATCCTATATCACTAAATGAAGAAAACTTAGATCCCATTTTCCGCGTACTATATTTTGATGGAAATAATCCCGAGTGAAAGGATTCGTTATTTATATAGGATTTGAAGTTTGGAAATTCACATTTAAAGGGATATTACGATAAAATTTACTGAGTTGAGATGTCATCAACAAGACACGTGTGTCGTTTGTGTGAACAGCTGAACTATGATAGTAATTAAGCAAATGAAATTTTTCAAATCTAACTTGTCGTCATGCAGCTACCTCCCGCAATTTACGTATCATAATGATTGCATTTCTACCATCTCAACTGTAATTCCTTACAATCCATCTAAAAATATCGCCTCTCATAATGTCAAGACTTGAACGACGGAAGCCAGCGTCTTCTTGTCGATATTGGCTCCTCTCGATTGATTGGATTCAGTTGACGTTCTCCTTGCATTATTTCGACTCTCATTACTGTCTCACGTTGTTCTTCATTGGAACTATTGTTCTCCTGATAAAATAGTAATTTTACAGTAATCATAACCAAGGTAACCAAGGTAACCAAGCCTTTCTATCGTTGATAGTATGAGCATGAAAGTGTTTATGCTGAAGATGTTTACGATGGAAAAGCTTGATTACCCTAGTTATACTTAGCCAGTCAAATTGTGTACGATCGATAGGCCTGGTTACCGTACTTATATTGAACCAATCAGGACAGGTCAATATTTGTATCCAGGGAAAGGCAAATGGTCAAATTGGTTTGGAAAGGCAAAACTTTACGTGCCCAATCAAACGTTGACAGAATATTCGATATTTTGAAGATTTTATCTTCTCTGAAAAAATCTTTACCCGACGTTAATCTTTACGGAACATTAAGTTATTGATTTAAGAAAATAAAAAAATGTTTTCTCTGTTTGTTCAGACTCATGCAAACCGAGGAGAACTCGTGCGAGAGCGATCGGTTTGCCCAGGCTAATGATCGGATCCGTTTGCACTTGCTAATGATCGGATCGGTTTCATTGGCTAATGATCGGATCGGATTACATTGGCTAATGACTATAGCAAGTCATATAGACCAAGCAGTTCATTGTTGGTATTTAATAAAAACCTCAATAGTTTGAACTTTGTAAAACCCTTGACTCGATTGTGTTACCTGAGCTTTCAAGATGAAGTCGATGATCCATTGAAATTTTATCTCGATTGCGAGCAGTAGGAATGACGAAACTATACCCGCAATCATGACAATGAAAACACCGCCAAGGTTCTTCAATTCAAGTGTAACAGTTGCAGAAGCAGGTGGCTCTCTTGCACATTGGGATTTTTCGTCCCACCAGGCTTTACGTCTTTTTTCGATGAAGCCTTCCTCACGAAGCTTGATGAACAAGAATATAAAAAAAAAGTGTGTCGATTATACCACTAAAATATCACAAAGACTGCCAGTTGGTTATATATCACGCAGTTGTAACAATGGCGGCGGAAGTTGTTTTGCATTGAGGGGTGAATAACAAAATGTCTTGGTGAGGGCGTGTCATTTTGACCTTTGTAATTGTCGCTAAACGAACTCACAAATAATATCATTATTTGCTTTTCTTGCTTCGGTCCCAGACTAGTGAAAAAGCTATTTATTTTAGACTGCGCCACATTACCATTGCATTTACGCCATGTTCTAATAACAACTTTGGCGCGATTTTCTTCCTAGCATTAACTACCAGTACTTCAAGTAAACGAAAGTCTATGGGAGAAGCAAGCTTTCAAAATGGCTGTCGGTATTTTAAAGTCCATCTATGTCGATGATTTTCCCTTGTCAAACATAAACATGTATTACGTGAAAAATATTGAAGAAAGTAGCTCATTGATTGGGGGTGGGTGCAGCCCCCTTCGCCCCCCCCCCTTTTCCGCCGCCCATGAGTTGTAATAGTTGTGTTCCATTTCGAGGCCACTTACATTGAATTGAATTTCTAACCTTAAGAATTTCCACCGATAATGTGTTGGTATACTCTGAGTTCTTCGGTAAACCAAAACCGTAACTCTTCGTCTGAAAGAGGTTACCAACCAACATTGTGTCACATGGTTGCAGGTTGTTGAAATGCTGTAATATTGGTGTCTCTGTTATAAAGGCGTATCCTCCACCTCTTGCAAGCTCCACGCCTTTAGTTGACGACGTCATTGTACTGTCTCTCTCGTTCATGTGACTCACCATCTTTTTGTGAATGGGAAGTTTTGATGTTTTTAGAAAGTTGTGATTTTGACCGTCGCGCTCGACACCGTACGTGAGATCGGACTTGTACACGAGATCTTCCAGACTTTTTATCGGGCTTTCAATCTTCTTGTCTGTTTAATTGAAACAGAAGTACGACATATATGATTTCCATGAAATTTTGCTTTCCACGAATGTCTGATTCTTAGACATCTTAAATGTTAGCTCATGTATACTGCAAAACTATCGCTCTTGCAGCACTTCAAAACCACTCATCACGTTGTATTTTCTACCCTTGCTGTGTCCCCCTTATATGTCCCTCTTCAATTACTACATTGTACTTTCAATAATCTATCCTCCAATGTATCCTTATGTTCCGTGAGAGTTGGCATACACTCTCCTCTTTTGTACCTATATTTTTTAATAGTTTGCACACATTGTCCTCTTTTGTACCTATTTGTTCTTGGACAGTTGGCACATACTGTCCTCTTTTTTACCTATGTCTTTGGATGGATGGCACACACTCTTTTTTTGTACCTATTTGTGCTTGGACAGTTGGTGTACAATGTCCTGTTTTTACCTATATGTCTTTAGACAGTCGGCATTCAATGCCCTCTTTGTATCTATATATTTCGACAGTCGGCATTCAATGCCCTCTTTGTACCTATATATTTCGACAGTCGGCATTCAATGCCCTCTTTGTACCTATATATCTTTGGACAGTCATCATTCACTGCCCCCTTTTGTACCTATATGTCTTTGGACATTTGACGCGGTTTAGTTGTCGACTAGAAGATGTCTGTTTACACTCACTTGTAAAGAATGCAGCTAGATTGGCCGTGTATGTTGATATTATAATAAGAATAAAAAACCAAAATCCTGCCGCGAGGATGCGTCCTGATGGTGACTTGGGAGTGTTATCACCCCCTTGCTGTAAAGTGCTGGCCGTTGCAAACCATAAGCTGTTCATAAGGTTGAACTCTTCACCTTCGCCTGGATTTTCTGCCTTTTTACGGTAGCCCAGAGGACTGAAGTAGTCAACAGCACAAAGCAAGAAGGTCATGGCAAATACCTAATAATTGATCAAATGAAAACGAGTCGTTTTTTTTATAAATGGTGTGGGGAGTTAAGATGTAATGACGTTAAAGCTTACACTAAGAACGACCAACAACCAGACATTCCCTGAAAAGGGTTTATGAAAATTAAAGAGACTTTCTTTTTCTTTTGGAACGCGTAGAATCAAGGCCATCTTGAAATCCATGAATGGCTTACTGAAATCAATGTCTCTTTCGCGGCTTGCTGTGATTGTGAACGAACCGATGGCCATATCGATTTTCTATACAAAATAGACGTTGAAAGATGTTGATTCGTAGTTTTTCTTTTCGCCTTAAATTGCAAGTAGCTAATGCAGCTTTAAGGAAGAAAAAGGGATCCTAAAGTTTTATGAAACAATAAAAGAAAAGCAGAACAACATTAATTCAACAAGAGAAAGCAACTTTGTTGATTAAATACTGCCATGAAAAGCGCAATGGCCAAGGTTGAATGGCGAAAAATAAAGCTCCCAAGGATTCTGAAAACCAAGAGAAAACCAGAGAAGCCCTAGAGAAAACTAGGAAAACCAAGAAAAAAATGGAAAACCAGGAAAACCAAGAGAAATTCAGGAAACCAAAAGAAAACCAGGAAAACTAAGAAAAAGTCAGGAAAATCAAGGAAAACACCAGGAAAACCAAGAGAAAATCAGGAAACCAAAAGAAAACCAGGAAAACTAAGAGAAAATCAGGAAAATCAAGGAAAACACCAGGAAAACCAAGAGAAAATCAGGAAAACCAAAAGAAAACCAGGAACCGAAAAAACGCAAGAGTCCTGGAAAGATAGTTCTAAAATAATTCTTTTCAAAAGTCTTAGGTTTCCTGGGTTTTCTTTTGGTCTCGCGGAACTCTGTTTTTGGTCATTCGCCTTAGCAATATTTAAATTCGTCACCATGACAGTATTAAGTTACCACATACCTTTGCTTTTAAATTTTCTAAGAATATTTTTGAACCTCCTTTTTCCAAAACTGTAAACTCGTATTCGAAGTCCATACGTTTCGCCAGCTCACGTATAATATCCACGGTAAATCCCTTTATATTGTCTGGTTCAGTTTCACTTTTATTTACCATAGCAAATGGCGGATCCTCCTTCATAGGAAATAAATAAACATATATGTTGGAGATGCAAATGACGGAAAGGATATTGCAGGAAAACTTGGCTTTAGGAACGTCGCAGTTTAAGATTCAAGAACGCTTGTGGAAACCGCGTTTATAGTGTAGAAAAATCGTTATACGTTTTGGAGAAGTGAAGAACATTGATGGAAAATTAACTGTCAAACTTCGCATACTTTAAAAGGGTCAATGGTTAAATTAAGAAAGAAATAATTTACGGCTCTCAGCATGATTTTGAACTTTTTCTTGCTCTTTATCATCGCTTTTTTATCCCTGGTTTCATAGCAGATGTAGTCCTGCACAGCGTTTCCAACCCATTTTATCGAGCTGGATGGCGGTAGTTGTGATTTCGTTGGGTTCATATTCCATGAACCGACCTGTGCGTGTAAAACGACAGAACATTTGATTCGTGAAAAAGATGCGAATGCTATTTATGGTCAACTTTACATTACTTTTTTGATTTCGCGATTTTGGATCGCTACAAAATCCATTTCTTCAATCTTCCTCACTCCGTTTTGGTCAAATTTAATTTCTCCAGTAAGAGCACAGTTCTTGACCTGATTGGAGACAATGCATCATTTAAAAACAAATCAATATGTGCTTCTGTTCAAATACATTAAGCAGTAATTTTACTCACCCTGTTCTTCCGACACGGTCGTAGAATACTCTGAAAAGAAAGCATTTTTAGCGAGTAAATATATGCGAGTAAATGAAGACTGACTTGAAATACTAATAAAACCATTGACTTAGCAAGCTTGATAACTTGGGTGTGGGGGTGGGGTTACATTAACACCCTCGAATTATTGATCCAGCTACGTCTCTGAACGCATCAAGGTTCGTTTGACGTCATCTACGATATGTGAACTACTTCAATATTTGAACCTTACTTTTTTCATTTTTTCCATGAACGTCATGTTACGATGTTGAACTTGCATTGCAGCATTGATCAGATACAGAGCGTCTTTTATCGAGGCGTAAAATACCTAGAAGATTTCGATTTGCGAACTCTCAGGATCTTGTAAAGATTTCGTGGCAAGGAGGTTTTTATGTAGTTCACGGGATCGCACGTTTCTCATGGAGATTTAGTCGGGAGTCGTTTTGCGCTTCATTCTAGAGATCTCTCAAATGTAGGTAATACTTGATCTATCGGTGTTCATCTCTCACCTCCGTGTATAATTCTTTTGCACATATTCGTTGTCTTTCTTGTCGGAAGCTCGTTTGCCATTCTGGTAAAGAAAGTCGGAAGGCGACTATTCCTTCAAGTGGTTCGTAGTCAGGTCTTCTGAAATCAATGTCACTCGCTATCCATTTCCAATCCTCACTGTCCTTATCGTAGAGTCTAGTTTGTAATGTCTGTATATAGACAGATAGAGTTGTACTAAAGATGTACAACATGTTTATTGCATGGTGGGGCTTAAGCTAGGCTTAGAAAGGATGATTTCAAGTCTTTACCAATTTTATTAACATAGAGGGATCGTAGGATATCTATATGAATCTCTTCTTACGTAATTATAAGTGGAAATGCTCAACATATAGATCTTGAATAAATCGTTTATTTTACAGTGGCACTTACTGCATTCATGACTTTCTTTATGTCATCGGTATCGCAAAGAAGGACTACGGTTTTTATCTGAGTGTTCCAAGCTTGGCGAATTGCATCTTTAATCACGGGCTCGTTGTCCATGTCTAGTTCTGGCATCATTTCTATTTTGATGTACTCCCGCTGACTTGCTGTGTGCAGGTTCATTGCTTGACGACTTCGCTTCGCTGTATACATGAAAAAAGAAACACGGCGAGAAATGACAAGGCTCGAGTATTTTCTATTGAAACATGTTTGATAAAATATCAGTGTTTCATGCAACCCATACACAGCTTGATCGTTTTGGTGAGTGGCGTCCTGAGAAGGACTGTTGGTGTCAGTGTTGACTGACGTTACGGCAACCTTAGCTGTAGTGATCTTCACTCCACTCAGAGTCAAGTCAGGTCAAACTCTGAAGAGTTAACTCTAGAGATGAGTCCTCTCAACTGTTTAGCGTCAAACGCGACTCAACAAAACCACCAGCAGTCTTTCTAAAGACTGCACTTACCAGAACTACATCTACAAACATGCAGCGATATGTTCGGCTTGTTATTGAATTTTTTATACAACCTGTATTTTTCATACGATATGCATATCCTGGTGAGACAATAACTTCTCCTTAAAGGTTATGAAAAAGGATTAACCTTACCATCAAACAGTAGAATACTTTCTGTGATTTCATAACGCAGAAGGACATCGACGATTGCCCAGTTTATAGTTTCAATGCTCGGATACATGGAAATGATGTATTTTCCTTGAGGTTGCCATTGGGGTACCATTGAAAGTATTGGTATTTTAAGATAATCACCTAACGCGTTTAGTTCATCTTTATTTCTTTGCAAATCAATGATGACATCCACTGGATGTTCTTGGAAATACTCGATATTTTCTAGTACACCTCCTGTGGATTGAAGGAAGTTTCTTAGAAAGAGTAAATGACTGGCGACGAAAAGCAAAAATTTGAGCAAAAAATAGGACACATTATAGAAACATGCATGGTATTAAATCCGGATGGTATTAAATTCTGAATTGAAAACATTCACTTTGTATGAGGCTATTTTTAGTTTTCTTTTCTTATGGAGCGACAATGAGTTGTATTTGTATGAATTAGAAATTTATACTGCTTTTTTATGAGTGCATGTCCTAACAAATAGCTATACAAATTCGTTTGAATTATAACAAAGCCATAAGGTATTTATCTATTTTTACCTTTCTTCCTCAAAGAAATGTTTGAGAACACGATGGAAATCTGTGGTTTGATGTATCTCGCCTTGATAAAAACGTCCAAATCTTCTATATTCTGACAGGACTTGTCCATAAGCACTCCTAAATAGTCTTAGACCTTCAATGCTCTGCATTTGGAATACAACCTTATGACATTTATATAGAGAATTTTCAACTTATACATGGAGTTAATTGAGATTCAGTACACATTTTGACTGACATTACTGCATGTATAATCTAATGTATTTTTGAAAGTCGTCACCCTCAATGTCAACTTTTAGATCTTACCTAAATTTTTTTGTTTTGTCGACACTAAGACAAATTGTTGTAGAAAAATGCCGAGTAAGCAAAAGCGAATCATATCGAAGACTTCAGATTACACTTTCAAATATTTCGAAGTTAACGAGAGCAACAACTTAACAAAGCAAAAAAATTTTGCGTCAACTGTTAATATTTAATAACGTTTCTCGCATTACATTTTGAATTCACCGCAACCATGAACCGCACACAAAATGTGCAAGGTTTTTTTTAAATCACAGATTATCGTCTCATAAACAGAATATGTATATAGTTTAATGTAGAAGTCTATGGAAAGAAACGACTGTCAATCTTTCGTGAACATCCGTTTAGTTTGCAACTTTAGCTTTTTGTCAACTTTCTATTGAATCCTTGCGTTAAATCCTTTCAACAAGAATGTTCGTCCATTTCCAACAGCGCAACATCTGCTTAAATCTCGACATCAACGTATGAATGTAGAGTTTTCATCTACACCTTTGATTCTCGCGCATTTGAATATACATCCGGGACTCTTTTTCGTTCACAAGGGGTGGTCGCTGACTCCATTGCGGGCTCCATGTAATCATAACTATCTTCGTCATCATAATCGTCATCCGTGCATTTTTCGCACTAGAGAACGGTGAAAATACTATGTGAATCACGTGACTAATATTGTTCATCTTGACGAAATTGTGGCTATATAGTATGTTGTGCTGTAAGCGCATCCCTTAATTTTGAAATGGCAGACTTCACTGTCGGTTCAAGTGCGAATTCGGTTTCTTTAATGCAGCCTTTTCACAAGCTTTTTTTTACTTCATTTGCCATTATGACAGGCACAATTGTGTTAACATAAAACAAACATATTTATGTGTAAGGTTTTTTTAATCATGACCACCAATGTTATCTATGAACGTATTTCATACCCCAGCCTCCAAGATCCACTCAACCAACCATTTGAATTTCACCTCGATGACGAGCAATGCAAGGGAAATGACCACACTCGACGCAAAGATTATAAACACCCCCGCCATGCTGTTGAATTTTATCTTCATACTGTCTATGGTGTCCTCAATCTTTACTGTTCTCGGACATTCGGATCTTGTCTGCCACCAGTAGGTGTAACGCTCGTTCATAAAACCTTTTTCGCGCAGCTATATTGATGGAAAAAAGATTTGTTGGAAAATTTGTTTCACTCATTACAAACCGTTTAAAATTCCTCTTTTCTCCTTTCTTTTTTGAAGTTGACGAGTTGTTGCAAAGAAGACAAAATGAATAAAAATCCTTACTTTCAAAATATTCACCGACAGGCTCGTCGTAAGTTCCGAATTTTTCTGCAAGGCAAACCCGTAACTTTTTGCTTCAAATAAATGCTTTACAAGCATCGTATTGCAGGGGCTCCGTGTGTTGTAGTAATCTAATATTGGCTCTTCTGTTATGTAAGCAAAACCACCATTCCTGGCTCTCTCGACGCCACTAGCTGAGCGCTCAGCGAACGTGTTGTGCCTGAAATAAATTGTGTACATATTCAATAGGCCCGAGACCTTCTTAACGGTTATTTGGATACAAACCTATTCATATGGGTCACCATTTTTTTATACACCGTATCGTTGGAATTCTGCTTTAAAAACTGGTGTATTTGACCTCCTCTAAGGACGCCATATTTGATTTTACTTTGCTTCGCTAGATCCTCTAGACTCGTTATTGTGCTTTTTGTTTTCTTGTCTGTTTCAATATAAATTGATGATATGTTAGATATAGTTTGGCAGCTGTGTGCAAATGGCAGATGTAGCTAATGGGAGTTTCGTGTTATGTTGAAACTATTATTATACATATTCGAAGTTATTGTTTTCATTAGGAACGATCAAATGCGGGTGTTTTCACTAGGGATCTAATGTTTTAATATAAGTTCTTAGGTAGTCGAAGATAGTGTTTTCACTATGAAGTATCTAATGTTTTAATACAAGTTCTTAGGTAGTCAAAGATAGTGTTTTCACTATGAAGTATCTAATGTTTTAATACAAGTTCTTAGGTAGTCAAAGATAGTGTTTTCACTATGAAGGATCTAATGTTTTAATATAAGTTCTTAGGTAGTCGAAGATAGTGTTTTCACTATGAAGTATCTAATGTTTTAATACAAGTTCTTAGGTAGTCGAAGATAGTGTTTTCACTAGGAAGGTTCTAATGTTTCAACTTTAGTTCTTACGTTATTATAAGTAGTGTATTCATTCGATGTATCAATTTCATATATACCAGTATCCTTATACAATCAATAAATTGAGATCTCCTCTCCTCCCCTTCCTCCCTCGCGTTATACGCTTCACTAGATGGTTCTTACTGGTAAAAAATGCTGCCAAATTAGCTGTATAAGTTGAGATCATTAGCAGCACAAAGAACCAAAACGATGACGCCAAAAGTCTTCCAGATGGTGACTTGGGTGTGTTATCAGGTCCTTGTTGTAGCATGCTTGCCGTAGCAAACCACAGGCTGTTGTATAAACTGAACTCGTCCCCAGGCTCATTGGTCTCTTTCGCAGTCTTTCGGTTTCCGTAAGGACTGAGATAATCGACGATGTACATGAACAAAGTCATTGCAAAAACCTGTTCAGGATTTAGAAACAAAGTTCCGTGAGTTTTACCAAACATGGCTCTTGATGCAATCTAGCATTTATCGTTTTGGGGTTTGGTTGGACGGGGGGGTAGGGTTAAAAGGCAATGAAAACATATATATTGCATTTTTTTCACAATCGTGCATGACGTAAATTGTATGAAAGAAAAGGAAAGATGAGCGGAGTGTAATGTGTTATCGAGGTCTGTGAAAATAAAGACTTACACAACAGCAACACACACACTAGGCAGGGAAGAACACATTTTCCTTTGTGTTTTTGAATCTTCGAAGAATGTTCTCGCTGTTTTACGTATAAAAACATAACACGAAGCGCTTCTTTTTCGATGCTTTCTGTTGCTAAACACCTCTAAAGATGTAAAACCATGCACGAAATGTACTTAAAAATACAAGAAAAGAACGTACCGTCATGACAGTGCACAACCACACGATGGGTGAAAATGGATCCAAGAAACGAAACATGTTTTGTTTTTCCTCATCCGGTTTTCTCAAGATCAATGCCATATTGAAATCCATGAACGGTTTGCTGAAGTCCACGGCTCTCTCTCTTTGTGCCGTAATTGTCAGTGAACCGGTTCCCATGTCCGCTTTCTACGTAAGGAGTAGGGGAAAGAAGAAGTGTTAAACAAGTGTGAATTCTCTCTCACAGCGAATTCTCTTTTTCACAGCGAAGTATCTGCCTCCATCAATTTTTGTCCAATGTATTCTTTTGTCTCATACTAACTTCTTGTCCTCTTTCAGTGTATCCGTGCATATACCTGCATATGGTCTTCTAGGCCTTTTACCAGAGGCGTAACCATAACGTTAATTGGTGGGGTGCATATTCATATATTCCGTTGTGCCCTACTGATTTCTTTTAAATGTGAATTGAATTTCAAAACAAGTCAGTAGGGCACAACTAAATATATTAATATACACCCCCCCCCCATTAACGTTCTAGCTACGCCTCTGCCTTTTAGTTCTAAATACACCTTGCAGTTCTAAACTTATCGTCCCTCCGTCTATATGCTTAATATTCGTTCTCTGTACATGACCAAACCATCTAAGCCTGGCTTTGTCTCATATATATCTAAGATATGCTGTGTCTATTTTAAAATCATTGTTGATTATATTTATTACCGATTATGAAACATACATTTATATATGAATGGTAGCTTCCCCTCCCCAATTATGGAGCTGGGCTATTCCACAAGTATGACTGAGCAATATCGTCATGTGTATTTTCTTTCCTCAAATAGCGATAATCTAAATTAACATTGACTCTTTCTTTTATCATCATACATAACTTTACATGATCGACAATTTTTTGAGTGAGCATTGATTCTTATAAAGTAAATGGTTTGAACCCGGGAGTACATTACACCTACACTAATTCACAATGACAATACACAATTGACACCCACACATTTCCTGTACACACAATACAATGACATAAGAACCAGATAACAAATACGGCTAACCTGACGTTTACTCCTCATTTGACTCTGAAGATGACTACCGCTAAAGTTGTTGAAACGTCGGTCAACAACAACAAAAACAGTCCTTCTCAGGACTATACCAACCTGGACGATCTGCATTTACAAACATTAATTCTTATGATCTTTTAACTCAATACCTGATCGATCAATTTGCCAATGATCCCTGACCATCTGCTCGTTTTTTCATCGACTGCGCCTGTACTTTTTTCGATGATTATATTATAATCGAAATCCATGTACTCGGGACTCGCCAGTTTTTTGACCATGTCAATACAAAAACCTGTAAATCTTTGTTCCTCGGGTAAGCTTTTGTTTTCATTGATATATACAAATGGCTCGTCATTCTAAAATAATGAAATATCTTCAATACGTTGTTTAAAATATATCTTCATTTAAGAAATAAAAGATGTTTACTGTGTTTGCTCGAGAGCAGATCAGTGCAATAGTGCAATGGTTGCACCATTGAAGTTAATAATTCAATGGGTTGCACATGCTCGAGAGCTCTCACAAACGTCTCCGAAGTTTGCATAAGCCAGTGGAAATCCGAAAAACGTTTTTTATTTGTTTTATAAAATAACAATAATGCGAAACAGACAAATTTAAAGTAAACGTTTTGATTTTTCCTCTCAAATCTTTTCATGTTCGATTTGCAAATTGTCTTTGATTGATTTATTTTTATAATTGATTTGATTGGTTGAGCTCGGATGTGTTTTGCACAGGCCAATACAAACAGCTCTAGAGCAATCTGCGGACGCGTTTCATTGTCTTCATTTTATAATATATGATGAAAATATTTCCTATGGATCAATATACTGCAGTATAGATTATATAAATGTTGTGCAATTCTTATGTTCATTTTGCTGCGTGTTGATTTGATGATTTCCACTAATGCTTTGCGGCGTTGCTAAGTTCGTTACCTCGGTGTAAAGAGAAGAAAAATTCCCAGTTTAAAATACGATGTTTCAAAACACGATGTAAACTTGATAAGGCTAGATTTTGACCTTTAAGAAGCACCTCAATTCTTCATTAACAAACAATTTTCCATTTATAAAATTATCAAATTTTTTACCCTTTTCACAATTATTCGATAATGTTTGCGTGTCTTATCGACATTTCTTCCATCGCACATCTCTCTATCTTTTCCCTTAAACCATTTCATCGTTGGATTGTTACTTCTCGTTTGAATTTCCACGGTCCATTCGCCAACCTTAAGGAAATTAATAATCTCGTGCTGTACAGCTACATACATAGCAACGCTGTTCAGTTGTTCATGAAAAATTTCCCATCATTAGTAATGAAACTTGACAGTTTGACTTTCCACAAACTTACGTCTTTGATGTGCGGTTTGCCTTCCCTAATTTGAACAATTTTTATCTGTTCCAGTTGTCTCTTTCCCATTTTGTCGAACACAACTTTTCCACTTAAAGCACAGTTTTTGAGCTAAAATCAAACACGACCATTAAATTTTAACGGAGAAATAGTAGCTACTGACCCAAGACAAAAGCTAATAAAAAAATATTGTCTAATTACATACAGATTTACTTTTGCATGGAAGAATCTGCTCCTTATCCAAGTCGGCTGCGATAAATCTTTTTTTTACAATGAAGCGTTCGACTACAACCAATACGTCATGTACGTTGGCATAAAAGCTCTGAAAATGGATTTATAGCACCATATAGTTATAGATTCAACAATAAATGAAGAGAAATACGATACAATGCATACACGCATGCACGCAATAATTGTTTTGTTTTATCTTACAAAGCTGACGCTGGTAAGGCGACGTTTTTGATGATTGCTCTGTACTTCGTCCCGAAAGGCCATAATCTTTATAATTTCTTCGTAGGTGTATATCTTTTGCACGAAACCAGTAATGCCGCTTAAGGTTTTCGCACAATTGTCCATCACTTTGGAATCCTGGGATATATATATTGCATATCACACCCAGCATCCTTTACGGCAAGTGCCTCGGTATGAAGTTAATAGGGAAAGATTAATGAGGCAAAAAACGACAAAATTTTTTAACATAAACATGTTTCGACTTCGCATTAAGTCATCTTCACTATAAATGAAATATTCTGCTGTAAATATTCTACTTTTTTTTCTTCAAATGCAACTATTTAAGTACTTGTTTATACGTACCAAGTCAATGGCAAGCCATCTCCAATCCTTTTTCGTTTCTTTGTAGAGATTGTACTTTATTGTCTGTTATCAATGTAAATCTTATTGCATCAACGTTTAATCAAGGAATATAGTTTTAAGTATTGTTGGTCAATTGCAAAAAGTAAATAGCTGCTTTAATAATACCACATATAGACACCATTCGTTTGAAAAGCATACGAAGAAGCAATTACCATAGTGAAATCGTTCCACTCAAGTTTTCACGAGTTAAACTTCGGCTATGACTGTACTACTGAAGTGAGTTTTTGGAAAATGATGTGTATAGTTTGTTTAGTTCTCATAATTAAGAAGTTTAACTCTCCTGATGTAGAACTAAACGCTGGTTTTCATATAATTATTTGAACAGTGTGGATAGAGCTCTGTCCTATCGGCTTGTGTTTTAGAGACGACTAAAACTAGTTGGACGGCAGTTTGAGAAGGACTACTTCAGTCTGAGCCCAGATCATTCCTACCTCATCTATAATTTTTTGTATATCCTGAGGAGCACACAGGAGTACGGCAGATGTTAAATGTGATCGTTTCAGTTCTCCTACAGCATAACTTAATGACTTGTTATCATCCATGTTTATTTCAGGCATTAGGAACATCCGAAGGCTGGCATTTCTTGCTTGCGATTGTAAATGGGCAGCTTGCTTGCTTTTCTTTACTTTGCAACGAATGGAGAGAAAAAAGTGCGAATTTTTAGAAATTAGATAGACAGTATATAGGGAAGATTTCAATCGTGATTCTCTATTTTAAGGGGTGTTTCACTATCTTTCAACTTTATATAGTGTTTTTTTTTTACTAAAGCTGCTCAATAGACATGTTATTGCATGCTTGTAGCAGTAGATGTAGATCGTCCAGGTTAGTTTTGCCCTGAGAAGTACTGTTGGTATTTGTCTTGACGACGTTTTGACAACGTTAGCGGTGCTCATTTACATAGACAAGTGAGGAGTAAACGTCTATGGTTCGCCGTATTTTTTGTCTGTTTCACGAACCTCTGGACTTCACTAATCTGGACAATCTACTAACATATAACGATACCCCCGGGTTCAAATTATTCACTTTATAGAGCTGTGGAAAAAGACTAGTTTTTGTTGACTGTTTTTCCACAAATACAGTATATTTTGTTGACTGTCCTTTAAACACCGTACATTCCATTTGGTTTTATGTATAATTTACTATGTTATTTTATCATTACTGATCGTTATTAAGTCGTGACATACCGTCGTATAATAAAGCAACTGGTTCAGTTTTCCAATATTTCAGCGTGTCCACCATAACATTATTGACAAACTCGTAATCTGGAAGCATTGACACGGTGAACTTGTCTTTTGAAGGTGTGCTCTGAGTCGTTGTAAAGACTGGAACGCCAAGAATGCTTCCAAGATTTTCAACCTTGTCCTCCATATCATTCACAGTCAAGCAAACAATGAGTTTAACTTTTTTTCCTTTCAGCAGTCGAGCTGTTTCTGAAGAACATGGTCAAGGATGACTTTTCAAAAAAAGGAATTGTAGCTAACTGGCTTTATAATTATTTTACCATGTATAACATGATAAATGGTGGAGTTTGAGAAACAGTTGAAAGGGAGGGCTGCGTTTTACGTTCATCTTGCTTTTCGTCGACAAATTCACAAGAAAGATGTTTACACGTACTTGGATCAGAAACATCAGTTGTCTTCACAAAAATGGCGTCAATCTTGTCCGAGAATTGTGAGTTTATATATTTATTAAGATGCCTGTCGCTTAATATTTTTTCATCCCAGATCACACCTTTTCAAGAACGAAATAAACGAACTTATCAACAAAACGTCGTAAAATGTTTCGTCTTGATGTAGATATTTGTCATAGGCGATTTTGAAAAAGTAATAATTGTCACTTACCAATTGTATTTCTTCCTTCAATAAGAAGAATATTCAAGAAAGAAAGCATTAGACAAATATTTACTCTCAGATTTTTCATTTTGTGTAGAGAAGTCTTTTATGGCTTCGGGAAAAGATATTCACTTTTTTCCGACAATTCTGATTAATTTTTGATCGATTAGAAAAGTTTAATAGATTGTGGTCGGAAATTTCGTTATGAATAGTATCCCAGTGGACCTAGCTGTTTGCGTGAACTGAAGTATGAATGAGATCTGTAAATGACTATACACATTTAGTTTCAACTATTATTACACTTCTAGACTTTCAAAATGTGTCCATTACATTGGACCACGATTGTGTAGGCTTTAGTCCATAATTTTTATTAATTTTATAGGATTTTCGTTAAGAAAGCCAATATCTGTTGGGCTTCAAAGTTACAGATGAGTATGTATTCCTACAGTTATTAACGTCTTTAAAAGTGATTGGTTAATTTCAAATTGTATCACTAAAATTTATTGCGTAAACTATAGTTGGCACTCATACGACAGTCATATGACTGTGTGTCCTTTGCATAATTAATATTTGTACACGTATAGTAACAGTTTGTGTGAGACAAAGATATATGCCATGCATGAAAAATGACACGATAACAAACGTCTTTGAATGTAAAAAGTAAAAACATCGAATGGATGAAAGACGCGAATTTAAAACGAAAAGTTTCCATTTCTTTATTGATTACAATTGGGAACTTTCCCCTCCGAGATCAAAATTTAAAGTCAACATTTAATGTATTTTTGTTGATGCCCGCCTACACAGACCACTTCTGTGACTCAGCTTGTAATTTCCTTATTCATACATCATTTGCATTTGACTGATGCAATTTTACTACGCACGAACAAAACAAACTTATCGAGAAAGTTTTGTCTGAAGTCAAGTCTGAGTTTCACAAGTATGGATGTTCAAAAGCAATCAGCGACATTCGACAAAGTTGATAAATTTACTTTCAGTGGCATTAAACAGGATGTGAAAGTTGTTCGTGTTCTCGACGGAGACACGTTGTATCTTGTGGTTGAGTTTAATGAGAGACTCATCAAGATAAAATGTCGTTTGAAAAATATCGACTGCGCTGAGTTGAAGAAGGGCTCTCTCGACACAATGGGCAGAGAGGGTTACTGCGCGCGCAATTTCCTCGCTCATCTTTGTATGGGTAATAACGCGAGCGATTTTGATGAGAACAGATCAAAACGTGACGACAAGAAAGAGCTGGAAAGAATGCTGAATGATAATCAGACATTGGTTTATGCAGAGCTGGGCGATTTCGATAGTTTTGGTCGAGTTTTAGTGACGTTAAAGCGAAAGAAAAGTTCAAAAATGAGTTTCAGTCAACTGCTGGCCGAACACGGATACGCAAAAGACACTAGAGAGAAAACACGTATCATTTATCGGTAACTTTAATTGTACATGATAGGAAGGTGTATTGTGTAACGAGATATTGCATGTCTGTAGAACTGAAATCAATACCGACCTTCTAGTTTTTGACAGAAACTTTAATGTAAATGTGCTAAATTATAGCGTAAAATCATTGTTATCGTGTACAAAGCATTTAGATAAATTCCAATTTAAATGAAACCATTGTCACATTTTTTGCGCACTTTAAAAATGATATTGTTCACTCCCCCCGTTTTTGTCTTTGTAGTATCTCATTTCCTCTCTCCCCCGTCTCGAAGGATAAAGATGGCGGGTTTTTTAAATACTTATTTTTTCGGATTTCTTGTTGCAGTTTTGGACTTTTGGTTATCACTTGTAGAGTTTTTAACACAAACCGATAATCGAAGCACTTTTTAAAAATTTCATTCATTTTTTTCTTGTTTTATCCGGCAAGTTTATATTTCGTGTGAGAAATGGAAATGCAAAAATTATCTGCACATGAATTCGTAAAAGTTTCAAGTATTGGTTTGGAAAAGATGGTGAAAGATATTGCGAAGCTTAAACAGTCACTTTCTAAGGTGAATTTGATTATTATGCAGCTCACACAAGACTTTTGAGATACTTCATGCTTAAATACAAACGACAATTATCTAGGTTCTTTCCGTCAACACTATGTCAATGTTGTACAAGAAAATCTATTCTTTGGAGCAAGGTTCGTTTGCCGTGTATGGGAGTTTAAAATTTTCTCTTTAAATGCTAACTATTTGCATGTATAAATAGTATCTTCATTAAAACTAGTTCGTTTCTAACACATTCTTTTTAGAAGTGAATAGATTACAACACGAAATCAAAACCAAAGCAACAGAAGAATTGGTTACTAGAAGACGCTACGATAACAGCATCGAAGAAGTTGAAAGATTAAGAGAGGTAGTTGATGGTTTTATAGGGATCTTTAAGGATACTTATGGAAGTCCAGCTTTGATGTTTCATGTTTTGTTTTAACATTTTCCAGGAGAATTTTCAACTAAAAGTAAGTCATTTTATGGAATGCCACCAATTTATTAAACACCGACGGTTGAAATTGACTATTTCATGAAAAGAAAATATTTTTATCACCAGACGCAGTTGAATGTCTTAGAAGAAGAAAGATTTGAAGAATACAAAGAGTGTTTGTCATTTGTTGCTATTTGTCTCACTATCATTTGGCATGCTTCCATGAAAGATGACTGTATTGAATCAATGATAGCGAGGGTATGTTGAACTTTTATAAACTATTGAGACACTGATGGACATAGTGTTGAAATGCTTCCTGCTCATTTGCATCAGTTCATGTCAGTGGCTTAAAACTATTGACAAAACTAGCATCAGCTAGTTTGCACTCTGGTCAAGCTGATTTTTTATTGTTGGTTGACAGTAAAAATCATGAAGAAATTGCCCAATCACATGTGCAACCTTGTCATGACCATGTGTGCAACCTTGTCATGATCATGTGTGCAACCTTGTCATGATCATGTGTGCAACCTTGCCATGATCATGTGTGCAACCTTGCCATGATCATGTGTGCGACCTTGCCATGATCATGTGTGTAACCTTGCCATGATCATGTGTGCAACCTTGCCATGATCATGTGTGTAACCTTGTCATGATCATGTGTGCAACCTTGCCATGATCATGTGTGTAACCTTGTCATGATCATGTGTGTAACCTTGCCATGATCATGTTAAGATTATGGTTGTATCTTGAAAAGTTTTTAAGAGATCTTGCGATGTGCTTAACATGATCTTAACAAGGTTATGCAAATATATTAAACACAGATTCACGCCAGAAATGTTGGCTGTATTTTGGCAAGTTCATGATTAAATCAAGGCATCAACTTTCCAAGATTTTGACAAGAAAAGTTATTGAGAAGTCTTAGTGAAGATGCTCAACCTGTGGAAGCAAACTGCTCTCTAAAGTCTTCAAGACTAGTTATGTTCTTTGTTGGACCTAACTCCAATTAATGTGCTCTTTATTATTGATTTGTCCTGTTTACAGGAAACTATTGTGAAATTCTTGGAATTTGTAACACAATCATTGGAAAGTTTCGCAGAAAGTAACATTGATGGTTCACTGCATTCACCACCAAACAAGATATATGATAGTAGTTCCGATGAATATAATCTTGTGTCGTCAATGATTGGCATCATCACAAATATTGCTGCCACCCCCCTGGGTAGAGATTACCTTTCAAGTAAAACACTTGGAGTGAAAACATTGGATTCTCTGATTATGTATTTGCCTGAAATGCCTACACGACAGTGTCACACCATCAAAAATCTTATTCTTAAGTCCTTGTTTAATGTGAGGTAAGTCAAATGTTTTATTTTATGTAAGCTTCGTTTTTGCCATTGTCAACAAAAAGTCTTTCATTCTGTATTACTCCAATATAGTCTTTAAGATCATTGGCATTACTTAATTCAGTTTTCTATTAATATTATTGTTTTTACAATCATTGCAATCATGAAATACTTGCATAGCATGAGTAACTAAATGGGCTGTATGAAAACACTGTAGAAACAAATTATTAATTATTTGATTACTACAATTTTACCACGCAACAATCGCGTAGATACCCTCGAACATCATCTCCAACTCTGCCATTTCCACCCCTACCCCTTTATATCCCAAACCTACACATCCACCATGTTCACCAAGATCCCATTTTTCCAATACCCTGGCATCCCCTATTTATTGATACTTCATTACACAGATGTAACCGATTATTTTTTCCTTTAAAGTATCAACCAAACAGGACTAAAATATCTTTCGACGAAAAAAGGCCTGATGACGAACCTTGGTTACCTGTTCACAGGTTTGTGTTGGTATAAATTAAAGTTAGGCCTTAACAACGTTTGTTCTAAAACATATTTTGTTTTATTGTAGAAGAAACTGAGAGTGAACTTCGTTTGTCTTGTCTTAAGTAAGCATACAATCGAACTGTTTCATTTATGAGATGTTTCTCAATTTTAACGTTCTTTGTTTTGTTTGTGTTCTAGTTGTATACAGTCTTTAATTGTCGAGCCAGATAATCCGTCTTTTTCTCACGAACTTCTTGAAGTGGTACGAACACCGAACTTTTCTTATCATTGACAACAATGGAATCTATTGTGTTTTGTTGCGTAGCACAAAAAAAACATTCTGTTTATGGGAAAATGCGTTATTTATTAGAATTTTCTGATTTTTCTTGTGTTTTATTGACATGTCAGAAACTCATATTAATTTAGGTTTCGATGCGAAGATTACAAGAAATTGCGGACACATCCAAAGGCGAGGTATTTTAAATTGAATTTACCACTTCATCTGATGGTCGATTTTTGTATTTACCAAATCAATAAACCATAGCATTACTTAATGAAGCAAAGAGCCACGGTTTTGTTTCATTCATCCACAGTGTTATTTCATTCATCCACCGTATTATTTCATTCATCCACGGTTTTATTTCATTCATCTACGGTTTTATATTTAAAAAGCAGACGGTTTCAACTGATCTGTTTTCACACACTAACTTCGTCTTCTTTGTTTCATAGCTAAAGAAAGTTATCTTGGAAGTAATGTCTGATCTCAATGAGGTTTTATCTCGTCAGTCTTAACGTGTTCAATAACCCATGGTAGGATTATTCTTTTTTATATGTTTTGAATGCAATGCAATTAATCAAAGTCCAGTTTCGGTGGCATACTTTTATCTTTTGAGGAAATCGATTTGATCTTTTTAAGAGTTCGTGCATGGGTATTGTAGTTGTTTAGATTTATCAAGTCCCTTGAAAGTTCATTGTTCGAAAAAATATTTGACTTAACTTTCGTAAAAAGTACATTGTAGCTAATGCGGATTGTACAATTCGAAAACATCCGTTTAAAGTTAATATAATATATTTGTAATTAAATGGTTTGCATTCCACTACACTTGTCAAGTTTTTTCATCATAAGTTCACAAAAAAATACACAACTAAAAAGATTAGACGAGTTATAACATTCTTTTGACTTCCGACTGCATGTGATTTGCTTGTCGTCCAGAATAATTCATGTCGCTCGTTCATATTCCAATTCAAACCAGTGATGTTCAGTGACTAAAAGAAAAAGGAAAAAAGTGACTTCCCATCATCAGCGTTTGGATGTTCAACTTTCTCTATTCTAACATACTGATGTGAATCTACACGGTGTTAAAGCCTTCTTCTGTTCACTAAATGTATGACCGAATTTCAGAACTAAGGGTTGGTTGGCTTTAAGGATCAAGTTTCGGCTTTGATTGGCTTTAAGGATCAAGTTTTGACTTTGGTTGGCTTTAAGGATCAAGTTTTGGCTTTGGTTGGCTTTAAGGATCAAGTTTTGGCTTTGGTTGGCTTTAAGGATCAAGTTTTTACTTTGGTTGGCTTTAAGGATCAAGTTTTTGCTTTGATGTGATGAATCTATAACTTACATCTTAAAGTTGAGGGGATGGTTTCAGCCTTTTAAGTCAAAGAGTGTCTTCTGGCTTTAGACTGAAGAATTAATTTCATGCTTCGATCTTAGGAATCACGATCCGTCTTTGGTAGCTAAGAATCTTTGTATACGTACCTTTGATGAGTTTTTGTAGATGGATTGTCCTTGAGATGATCTTACCTCACCATGTTTTAAACCGAGGATAACAATTGTGTCAAGACGGGGGGTGACGTTGATGTTATTTTTTGGTGTTTCTATCGTCAGCTTGTTCTGTGAACCAAAAATATTTTCGATCAACTTCAAGTCAAAATGTGAAGAGTCTCTACCGTTCGTAAACCTTAGCAACTTTAAACTGCAACAGAAGATACGCGTTCTTTTCTATCGTGTCTAAAGTGGAAAGTAAGATTCGTGATGTAAGAAGAAGTTTATGGATCTTCAAAGATTTAGAAAACAATCGCTACCTATTGAGTCACCATCGTCCCAGAACATATATCCAATTGCTTTTTCATCATCATCAAGAGTTACAATCAAACCAAACGGATTGCGACGACTGGAATAAAAAGATGACCAGTGACGTCACTGACAGTGCCAGTGACGTCACTGACAGAGGGGGAGTTTTTACATCAATAACGTGTCTGTATTAATTGTCTTTCAGTTAATACGGAAATGAATCAGATTTGGGCTTGTGTCTAGTTACAAATCTTAAAGTTCGCTCCTCTACAAACTTTATTAGCAACCGTCCTTGTTAATGGGAATGGTGGCCTTTTATTCTTTAAAATCTATTAGTTTTAAAGGAGATCGTGACCGCATACCTGAAGAAAGTATTGTTCGCTGGCTCTTGTACAGGTATTATAAACCCGCCTCGCAGGTGGAGGTTGATGTGATCTTGAGGCGTCGTCAGGTTTCTGTAGGCGCTTCTTTGTGACACTTCATTTCCCTGTAATAAAGTACGTTAAAAAGACTAAGACGTGATGCTCAAATCATTTTAAAATTTATACGGTCAAACAACAGTACACAATGTACATAAATAATTGATCGTATTAGAACGCACTGTGAAGTAGTCAAACCAACGAGAATCTGGAAAATACGCTTTCACTTCTGTTTGATTCTGAAGGAAGAAATTTTATGGAATGACTGTTCAAACTCTTTGTTGTTGATCGTTTCAATGATTGGTCGAGATCATAGCTCATTGTTTTATGACAAAAAAAGTAACTGACCTCTTCCAAAGCTGGACTTATCAGCAAAGCTGACCCCCACAGAAACTGCTTATCTATGGTCCATGTTGCTGAATCTGCTGTAAATCTGCAAGGAAGAGTGAAAAAAATAGAATGTAGTTTCCACTATTTCATTTCACTGGATGAGAGTGAAATGGATATTAAAATTGATATCGTCAGAGAGAAGTTCAAGTCGACAGAAATGTATGATGGATTGATCGTTTTCTTATTCTTCGTATTCAGTGTTTTTTCTCACTCGTGAAGAAGAGGTCTGACAACCGTGGAACCCTTGGTGTGAGCATCGTAAAACAAAGTGTAGAGATATGGCAGCAAGCGATATCGAACCAATAAGATATCACGTATGTTTTTAGCAATTGTTTCACCAAACACCGTGGGATGTTGAGGCTGAAAAATAAAAAAGATTTGACTTTTGATAAAAAGGACTTGCAAAATTACATTCAGAGTTTTTGTTATCTTACAGAAGGTGAAACATTACTTGAGTAAAGAATTTCATTATTATAGTTACCTTCGCTCCGAATGTATTGTGGTTTCTACTAAACGGATAAAAAGCCCCAAGTTGCATCCAGCGTTGACACAAACTTGCTGTTGTATCATCTATAAAACCACATATGTCCGCACCAATCTACAAGAGTTAAATACTTCTTCGAACAGCAGTTGGAAAAAGAAAAATGTACCGATGATAACAATCACATTTTCAACTTACATACGGTATGCCAAACAGGTTGAAATCCAGCATTCCTTTAAACAAAAAATTTGTTAGCGTAATGTTGGATCTTCGACATGCTGCAAATCGTAATCGTACCAACGATAGAGCGATGCATTTGGTAGTATGCAGAAAGATTATCACCTAGCCAATGTCCGGCATATTTACCACTGCTAATGTACGTCGAGCGAGAGATTACGATGCTTCGTTTATTGGTTAAACTGTGCATGATTCTACATGTGAAATCATGGAGTATAATATAGATAGAGTGTTAAAGGCCAAAGTATAAATTCAACTGTAAAAACAAAGATGTTGTAAGACATATAAAAGATACAGTGCAATAACTTTGTAGGTAAACTAACATTTTAAAAAGAGAGGGAAGATGTGAGTTCGAAATGGATATAAAAGATTAATGCTTGTTTGAGACTTACTGTTGTGTGACCACAGTCTGACTCCATCCGCATAGGCGTACGGGCACATATTTTTAGGGGGAGCTGGACTAAATTTGCCCGAATTATATGACGTCATATGACGTATGACGTCATAGATATTCTTATGTTGTCTCTGGCCATCTCAATTAATAAGCTAAAATCATTACAATTTGCTAAGAGGATGCTACGAAAGTAACTACATTTTATTTGATATTTGAAATTTTGTCATATATAACACTAGACGCAGAAGAAATTTAGTTAGTTAAATGTGCGACGATCTAAGACTAAAAGAAATAAGATTTACGATTACGTCGCTGTCCAAAAATGTTAATTATCTTTTCCATGTCGTTCTTTAAAGTACTATTTGCATAGGCTCTTTCCACATTGATTAGGGCAATGCTGTTTAACCGTTTTGACCAATTGTACTTCGAAGATAGGTTTTAAGCGACGAAGAGCGCTAAAAGATCTTTCTGCTGAGCAGGATGTTGCCGGGATCGCGGCCAGAATCGAAAATACTTTGTAAGCCACAGGCAGGACTTCATGAACACCATTTTCGAACATTCTCTTAACAATTTTGGCAGCGTTTTCTCTCTCAGCACAAGGGAAATCAACGTCAATATTCTCAAAGACATTTTTCTCGCTACTAAGAAGCTCACTGTCGATACCATAGAAGTGTGATACCAACTCAACATTCGCCGTGGTTGGAGACCTGTTGAACACAATATCTGCAAGTGCCAATAGGACCTCTTGATCACTACCTTCAAATCTTGATTTCATCTCCGCCACAATCTTGTCAATGCTTAGGTAGTAGCATGTGATACGATAGTAATCTTTTCTGTTCGATTTTCCACTTCTGCATTTACTTCAGCCATTTCACCGACGAGAGCTTGGAGCCGCCGTGACGGCTGTTGGAATCTTGGTACTTTTGCATCTTTGAAATTGAATTCTGTACCTTCAATTTGCTCCTTAATTTTGTGTGCTATGATTTCAGCCCGTGACCATAACAGTTCGAAATTTTCGAGGGAACGACATCCAATTAATGTCTTAATCACGCCATCAACACTCTTCTTTGCTGTGGCGACATCCATTTGCTTTCCTTGTAGGTACCTGCTCAAACCATCGGTGTTAGATAAAATAACCTTTAATACCATCAAACCAAAAACGAACCGAAAGTCGCAAATCGAGTTAAGTAGCGAATTGCTGTCATTGTAGGTCTTCGGATCGCGATCTTTTGAGAGTGTAAGGAGAACCTCGATGATCTTAGGTAATTGGTTTACTACTGCTTTTACAGCTGCCCAACGACAAGACCATCTAGTAGCACTCTGCGATTTAATAGTCAGTGTAATATCTTCGTCCTCATCTTCGACCTTGATGTCATTGAAGATGGAGTGGCGTTTGGGACTTCCTTCCAAGAAATTATGGAGACTCTGGATCACACCTAAAGCTTTCTGAAGTGGCTCAATTGTAGTCATCGTATCTTGTAGCGCCAAGTTAAGCCGATGCCCATGGCAGTGAACATAGATGCTAAGAGGTGAGCACTCCTTCATGCGTGCAGCAAGTCCTTTGCGAGGGCCACTCATATTTGCAGCGCCATCAAAGCATTCTGCGACAATGTTTTCCAATGTCAACTCTAGCCTGCCAATGGCTGTCTTTAACAGCTCATACAATACTTCTCCTTCCGTAGATTTGGTTGAATAGAAACCAGTGAATGTCTCTTTGGTTTCGCCATTGAAAACATATCTGAGGAAAAGAGATAATTGCTCTGTTCGACTGATGTCTGCCGTTTCATCGACAACTATTCCGTAGTAGTCGCTACTTGCTTCTTCTGCTATCCTCTCAAGCATGACACTTGCTACTATTTCCAGTAGTTCATTTTGAATAGCAGGGGATGTCCACTGAGCATGTGTCTGCAGCTGGCTTTGAAGTTTAGATTTCAGCCAAGGCAAATCGTTGCATCTTATGCAAAGTAACTCGAGAAAGTTTCCTCTATTTATATCAGATATCTCCCATATATCACCCCGAATCTCTTCATGACCTCTAATTGCAACATTTTGTTGTGCAGTGTACATCAAAGATTGTATGATTACTTTTAAGTATTGTCTGTTAATAGCAACCTGGTCCTGGTGTGCACTATTCAGCTGTTGTAGTACGGAGGTTTTCTTTCTTTCCATTGCTTTAAACTGGAGCCATCTTGTCATGGATCTGACGTGGTTCTCACTCTTGCCATGTTTTGCCAGCTTTGACGACTTCTTCCAATTTGTAAGCACAAATGAAGTATTCTTCCCAAATTCTTTACAGGCAAAACAAACGCATGCATCTTTATCCACTTCGTAACTAATCCATGGATATTTCTTGTACCATTCAGGCTGAAATCGTCGCACAAATGTTTCACTGCCGAATTTTCGTGCAGGATATTCACCTAATATAGGCTGTTTTGGGGCGTGCAAGGTGGAAATCTCTTCTTCATTCATACTGTTAAGGAAACCTTTCTAGTCTGTTCATTTAGAACAGATGCTGTTGAATCTAAATCTTGTATTGCTGTTGTGTCTAGAGTGTTAGACGTCGTCGTTGATTCTGGTGTTGCAACGCGTTGTATATTTTGATTTAAGTTAAATTCTTCGATGAACAGTGCGTCACTGGAAGTAAGATTTTCATTATCCGTGACCGTATTCAATTCTTTATTTTCTCTGAACTGCGTCAGTGGATTTAATTCATCAACATCAATAAACGTTCTCATTGGTTCCGTTTGGTCTTCGCTTATGGGCTCCTTCAAATTAATCTCAGGTAGATTTTCCTCAAAAGACCCAGTGGCTGCTAAATCTTTACTAGCACTCGATTCTGTTTCCTGTAAGGTTAGGTTATCATCCTTGGTTGTCATGTTACTTTTTACAAAGAAACCACTGATCTTTGACTGCGATAAATCCGATGAATCCATCACTCGATGACACTTAACTTTTTCATTATTGTGAACTCGTCGAAAGTGGACCTCCTTATAATCACTGTCAATTTCCTTGCTGCATTCCTCGCACCAAACGCGATGTCGATACGGTCGTTTACGAGACGCCATATGTACGCTTTATTAGAGCTTGGCTACTAAATGTTTTCCCCTTGTGGATAATAGTTTCCTTGAACAACAATCATAGAGTGAATGGCACTAATCTAATCAATGGAATGGACAGTGCCTCTCCATACGAAGCCTAATTTTCATGCAAAAATTAAAAATCACTTTTGGGGATCGCAGCGATTGTTAATCTATATATTAATGTATAACGGATAGCGTGTGGGAGACGATTTTTCGCAATTTCAAGACATTTCAAGACTTTTACTGACCTCAGCCCTTTTTTATAAATGGAGAACGTTATGTGGATAAATTTAATACCAAAAGCTTTGCTCTGATTGAAAATATCGGCGTTCGTGTTCGTTTAAAAGTTGTAAACACCGAATATATTCGTCGCAATATCGCTAGTAAATAGACCGATTTCTCGTGACGTAATTTGTTTATATTATAATGGGGCGGATGTAAAATTCTCCTATTATGTCTCAAGAAAAATTTTGCACCCAATCACTTTACGCGATTTTTTATTTTACCTCCTGAAATTTAAGTAATTTAAACAATTTAAAAACCATCCATTAAAAGACCGTTCACGCTCAAGAACCGAAGCAGTTTATGATCTAGAAATGATGTAGATTAATATTGAAAATTTAAAAACTGTAGTAAGTATCTTGCCAGAATATCATGTAAATGCTTGCCCGAATACACAAATTCTCGAGAAATTGGGGGGGCTGCAGCCCCCCCAGCCCACCCCCCCCGTACGCCTATGTCCATCCGTACAAACTGTGTACGTCATAATGGCGATGTTTTCCTTCAGCTTGTTGCGCACTCATACATATTGTCTTATCTGCCAGAGTACCTCCGAGGACGTCTAAGTATTTGAGAGGACTCTTAAGTATTTCCGAGGACTTCTAACTATTTCAGAGGGCATCGAAGTTTTTCAGAGGACATCTGAGTGTTTAGAAGGACATCAAAGTATTTGAGAAAATATCGCAAATGTTTTCACAATCTTGAATAAAGCATTCTGAGATTTTTTGAAGACGCCACACAATTTTGAATAAATCATTTTGAGATTTATATCTCTTTCGATTATGAGTGTCAGTTTCGCAATAAGTGTTTACACTGAAGAAATTTGTACTGAGATTTCTTAGGTTTGAAATGGTTTCCTTAAATTCTCACTCCTCTTAGATAAAAGCACGGAGATCATTTTTGTTTTGTTACACGTGGAGTTATTGTGTATAGGTCGACATCTCCACCTTTTGCTACAGCACTTCTGGTTATAAATAAATCATCATATGTTATCTTACATGGTTTATACGGCGGGTAGTCAAACTTTGTACGTGGACATATTATCATATGTTATCTTACATGGTTTATACGGCGGGTAGTCAAACTTTGTACGTGGATATATCATCATATGTTATCTTACATGGCTTATACGGCGGGTAGTCATACTTTGTATGTGGACATCCACGAATTGATCCATGAACAAAATTTGCTGGTTCATTCATGTCCTATATTGAACAAAAATAGTCGCATCAAAAAGAATTGTTCTTCCCTCGCGGAAACATAAAATCACAGTGGAGTTTTTATGTATATCTGCTTACGATCCATAAGCCATCGAAGTCGATGATCTTGTGAAATTTCTCTATCTCGTTTCGCCACCATTTTGCCGTATTGTTGGCGAAGTAATCAGGAAAAGCAACGTACGCACGGAAACGCTTTCGTCAAGAAAAGAGGATTTCTTATTTTACTAATCTGATCGACACTACTTTTGAAGTTAACTTAAAAAACATACCTCAATACGTTCCTCCCAAGGTAGACTTGTATCTTCGCTAACATTGGGATAGTTAGGCCATACCTTTCGAAGGGAAACAAAGTCGCGAAGCTACCAGATTTGAGTTCAATCGTCCACCAGGTAGACATTAATGCTTTAAACACATCACACTCGCTCTCATTAGCTATGTAAATCATGTAGCCTGGGTGCATGCATGTGATTAATTAGAGTGGTCTTTTTTGAACCTTTCTGACAAACCTCAATCAAGGGAGACCTTCCTCAAGAACCTTTGTAAGAAGCCTCATTCAAGGCAAATCTTTCTCAAGAATCTTTCTGTCAAACCTCAATTAAGGGAGACCTTCCTCAAAATCTGACAAACCTCAATCAAGGGAGACCTCCCTTAAGAACCTTTTTAAGAAGCCTCCTTCAAGGCAAATCCTTCTCAAGAACCTTTCTGTCAAACCTCAATCAAGGGAGACCTTCCTCAAGATCTGACAAACCTCAATCAAGGGATACCTCCCTTAAGAACCTTTTTAAGAAGCCTCATTCAAGGCAAATCCTTCTCAAGAACCTTTCTGACAAACCTCAATCAAGGGAGACGTTCCTCAAGAACCTTTGTAAGAAGCCTCATTCAAGGCAAATCCTTTTGAAGAACCTTTCTGACAAACCTCACTCAAAAAAGACCCTTTTGAAGCAGCTTTTGCAACATTAATAGCCATGTATAACGCACGTAACTACCTTTCCATGCAATGTATTTCCTTCGTAGTTCTTGATCCAAACGTCATTTTTCACACCTTCACTATATGTTGGATACATCGTTGTCTCGTTCACACTGATGGCAGGATCCTGGATATGTCGATGAAGAAGAGTTCGATTTCATGTACAAGAAATTGCTGGTTTATTATATACAATGGTATCACAATAGTGCTTCGTTATCTTACCAGAATAATTATGTACTTTAGTCCTTCCTTTTTGATGTCATTCACAAACTGTGGCAGTCCGTCGTATGTTGATTTATCGTACGTGAAGTCGAGTTGTCGCTCCATGTAGTCAATATCTCCGTATTGTACATCCTGAAAACATTCAATCCTATTTATGTACCTGTATAGCAATCTATGTCCCCAACAAAGTTCTATTTTATACCTGTGGTATGTTGTATTTCTTCATTTCCCCTACAACTTCCTTCACCTCGTTCAAATCTTTGTAACCATAGCGACAGAGTTGAAAACCAAGACTCCAGTATGGCGGCATGAATGGTCGACCAATTAACTGTAAAAAAACGCCATAGTTCTTTCTCATGAGAGTACAAAACGTGAATATTGAGATTGTGGGCTATTTCCATCGCGATGGAAAAGCTGTCAAAGAACTTTTTAAAGCAACAGTTGCCATGATATCTATTTCAAAAACCGAACAAATGTTGTTACCTTTGTGTACTGTTGCACAACATCCTCGGGTGATGGTCCAAGGAAAAAGTAAAAATCCAATATTCCACCAATTGTTCGGTACGTCAAAGCTGGCGTTGGCTGTAGAGTCACATCTATTGATTGGTTGATAAATTGTATAAAGATTTATAACTGGTCCTACATGACGTAGTTATTCTTACCCATTGCGTTACTATTGACAAGCACTACACCGTGTGCTTTACCACTCTTCTCTAAGCTCATATAGAATGGATGTACTCCATATGTATTTCCTTCTGCTGCTGCCTGCGGAAGATGGAAATGTAAGGATTTTACGTTTATGATTACAAGCTTTTAGTTCATTGTATTAAATGCAGAAAATGAATACGGAGAGAAGGGCGACATTGTGTGTTTAATATCCTGTTGGTACCATTGGTACTGCTGTTTCCTTGGCCACAATCATGTTTTGTTAGAGTTATTGATGGCGGAGGTTCTTACTAACCAGGAGTGTACGGTATTTGATTATTAACGCTAAATAAGTGCCTGTTGAATTGAATAACAACTTCTGTAAAAGGACTCACGAATGGGAACTGATCACGTGAGAACATTCCCAATGTTTTCCAGTCCATTCCTCGCGCGAAACTCGCATGTTCCTGTTCACCGAAACCATAAAGATATGTAGAGGGTAGTTTCGTTGAGATTTGAATGTATTGGTCACTGAAGATCAACGGTGCTACCGAACTGTCCCATCTAGATAATGGTGAAATTATACAACTGCAAAATTCCTTATATATTTCAGCTATAAGTGTAGCGTATTCTCACATTAGAGTGTCGTCTTTGCTTCGTATTATTTTCAATGCAAATGGAAATTCATCAGCGTGTACTCTGTACTTCGTCTCTCCACCATCGAACGATTGATTATTGAACTTCAATGGAACTTCGTACCTGTCCACGTTGTTGTCGTATAACTGTTTGTAAACGGTAAAACTTAAAAATGAGATTTGATACAATGGAACTTTGTACCTGTCCACGTTGTTGTCGTATAACTGTTTGTAAACGGTAAAACTTAAAATGAGATTTGATACAATGGAACTTTGTACCTGTCCACGTTGTTGTCGTATAACTGTTTGTAAACGGTAAAACTTAAAATGAGATTTGATACAATGGAACTTTGTACCTGTCCACGTTGTTGTCGTATAACTGTTTGTAAACGATAAAACTTAAAAATGAGATTTGATACAATGGAACTTCGTACCTGTCCACGTTGTTGTCATATAACTGTTTGTAAACGGTAAAACTTAAAAATGAGATTTGATACAATGGAACTTCGTACCTGTCCACGTTGTTGTCATATAACTGTTTGTAAACGGTAAAACTTAAAAATGAGATTTGATACAATGGAACTTTGTACCTGTCCACGTTGTTGTCGTATAACTGTTTGTAAACGATAAAACTTAAAAATGAGATTTGATACAATGGAACTTTGTACCTGTCCACGTTGTTGTCGTATAACTGTTTGTAAACGGTAAAACTTAAAAATGAGATTTGATACAATGGAACTTTGTACCTGTCCACGTTGTTGTCGTTTAACTGTTTGTAAACGATAAAACTTAAAAATGAGATTTGATACAATGGAACTTTGTACCTGTCCACGTTGTTGTCGTATAACTGTTTGTAAACGGTAAAACTTAAAAATGAGATTTGATACAATGGAAATTTGATAGCAGTTACCCCTTCTAAGTTCATTCGAATCGTTGCTTCTAATTTGATTGTCCTGAATTTTAATCCCTTAGACCTTGCTCCTTCACCCTTAAATTTGATATTGGCCTTCAAATCCCTTATCGTCACAATTTATAGTATACATCGCTGTTGCAGAAGGGCACGTGAAGTGTAATACTGTCCTGCAAAGTCCCTTCAAATCCCTTATCGTCACAATTTATAGTATACATCGCTGTTGCAGAAGGGCATGTGAAGTGTAATACTGTCCTGCAAAGTCCCTTCAAATCTCTTACTTTCACCCTTAATACATTGCTGTTGTAAAAATGCACGTAGACTGTTATATTGTCCTGCAGAATCCCTTCAAGTCCCTTACCTTCACCCTTAATACATCGCTGTTATAGAAATGCACATGAACTGTTATATTGTCGCTATGATTTCCATACAACACTCTTTTGTCTACTCTTTGTAGGTGATAAATTATATCCTGCCTTTCTGAGGTGAGGGTCTCCTTTTTAGCCAGTTTGTATGCGTTGAAACCGCTCGGATAGAAGCACGATGGAGCTTTCTAAAAAGAGTTCTCCAAAATCTCTATTTGGACCAATCACTTCACTATGTGTAACTGATATTGCCTACAATTATGTCTGTGTTGAACTTTGTTATTGTCAGTAGGTGGTATGTGTGTATGTTCACTTTATTATCTCTGAACGATTACAAGTTACTGTTGATACGTACATTATCGCTTAATGGTTCTTTCCAAAGACATCCACGATTCTCGCACAATGTTTTATTCAACATACTGTCCCGTCCCTCTGGATAACAATCAAACCTTGCAAGATCGTCGGCATTGACGCCGGAGCAATTGAATGCAAACACTATCACAGCAATAAGGATGAAAAAGCACGCCATTTATGAAATGGAATAACATGGAATGACTTGTAATATTCTTATCTTTGTCTCGGCGAGACTTGTTGATTTTCATTTTTGAGATGTTTTGAGTGTTTTTATGCGTAAATAAGGAGAAGTTTAGGAGAAATTGAGAACTCATCAGTGCCAACCAGAAAGAAAAGGTCAACCATGGCCTACTTAAATTACACGGCCTGATATCTTGCCATAGCAAGGTCAAAAATGCAAGGCCATTGAATTTTCCGGCGGTGCTCTTCGAAATTTTGATCTTCTTCCTTCAAAATTGTTCATTGGCCTTACTTTATGGTATAATCTTGTAGCTAAAAGTCTAGCGATCATTTCAAGAGTTTATTGGCTGAAATTGGTCCTTTTTTCGCCGAGAAATCAAAGTTTATAAATTGGTGCGATCGGCGGTTGTTTTGTTTACACGCGCTCGTCTTCGTTCGAAAATTTTAGCTCTTAAATCTATCGTGGATTATCTATATTTGGTATCTACGTGTTCCTGGTACTCTCCTCTACATTTCTACAAGATTTTTGGAGTCGAATTGTATACATTTTTTCTTTTATTTACGAAGATCTTCAAACCCATAATTATAGCGATGGTGCTTCCTATTTTCAACGGTGTCCTTCCTACTCCAACTAGGCCTAAGAAAATTTCATCAAATCCAAACGATTTCATTGGTAAATCATACTATCCCTTACCTTTTCAAGCTTCCTGATTAATTGGAAATCTTGGTATTGGTTCTTCTCCATCCTGGGACATCAATATAAACAATAAATCGATCAAACTTAAAATAGAATGGTATGTTGAAAAGAACAATAACAGTTCTCATGAATTCCCAAAATCTCTACTTAACAGACTATCGGCCTACCTGGTCCTCCTCCTTTGCTGAAGAGAAACTGTCTTTCAAGTTTGAATGGAAACTACTCTCTGATGCTACTAACCAACCTGAACAAGTTAAAACTCCATCTACTAACTTACCTTTCCATACTCCTGACTCTGGCTATACATCAACATCTAAATCGTATGTATATTCACCACCTGTGAGATGAAGTCTTTTTGTTAGTTGAGTCAGGAACATGTATTGTGTTGTGTTTAGGTTTGTCCTTGGATTTAGTTTGTGTAGATGGAGTATTTTTCTTTTTATGAGGAAAAGTACCTTAAAGTAAATGGTTTGAACCCGGGAGTATCGTTATATGTTTGTAAATGATGATCGTCCAGGTTAATAAAGTCCTGAGATAGACTGTTTTTGTTGTTGTTGACTGACGTTTCGACAACCTTAACAGTAGTCATCTTTAGAGTCAAATGAGGAGTAAATGTCAGGTTAGGAGCTAATAATTTTTTCTTTTTTAAAATATCAACGCTTGTGTTGGTTTTACTTTATCATAGAAATTGTTGATTTTCACGTTCTAACTTCTGACAACAATCGCCTTGTGGCCTTGTGTAATCCTGCTGTTAGTCTAACAGCGCATGCGTTGGAAAATGTCATTTGCCTCATGTAGAGCTTGATTGCAATACAGTTGGCCATGTGCGACGTAAAACATGTCTAGACATGTCGGTTCACAACTTATCAAAATCCCACAGTCACTAAACTAGCCAGGAGAAGAACGTTTCAAACATACACGAAAATCAAAATTGAAGCGGAAGAACTGCGCTATAGCTAAACAGGAGTAGCAACATTTTTATTTTCTTAAAATACTATTTATTACTCATGTTCCTTTACAGTCCAATACGTGATATTAATTTTATTTACCTTTAATTTTATTGTTAACCGCGTCTGCAATGGATTTCGCCTTCTATGGCGATACGCCTTTTATATCTTGTTGCATGCGTTGTGATGTATCACTGCTTTGTAATCTTAGTGTAACAGAATCGTTGTTAACAGAATTGTGTTATTTTAAAACATGGTGTTATTTTATTCAAATCATTCTTACGCGTGGACACCACTCAACAGCTAACAATGCATTTCAATTTAAAATAGGGAAAACAAAAACATCTCAATTTCATACCGTGTTGCGAGCTCCAACGCGTTAATCTCTGTGCTCATCATGTATTTCATACCGTGTTGCGAGCTCCAACGCGTTAATCTCTGTGCTCATCATGTATTTCATACCGTGTTGCGAGCTCCAACGCGTTAATCTCTGTGCTCATCATGTATTTCATACCGTGTTGCGAGCTCCAACGCGTTAATGTCTGTGCTCATCATGTATTTCATACCGTGTTGCGAGCTCCAACGCGTTAATCTCTGTGCTCATCATGTTTTCATGAAATTTAAGTCTGAGTATGTCGCTTGCGAGGAATCAGTTAAGATTAAGATCTATGAATATTAATGATAATTGAAATTTGTGGCTTACCTAATATTTGATTATTTTCTGCGGCTCAAATTCAACATATTACGATTGGGGTTTCTTAGCGTAATGATTAGTTATGAGTGAATTGAGTGTATGCATTGCAAAGTTTAATATTAAATAGACGTCTAAAATCGTTTGTTGGATTGGCCTGAAGTAGCTAAAACATTAGATTGTGCTGAATGTTTTGCTTTTGCTGTAGTAGTAAGTATTTAATTGAATGTTTTGCTTTGCTGTAGTAGTAAGTATTTAATCAATAGTTTATCATTTTGCCGTTAAAAATTCCATCACCAATTTTATTATGCGTTTGTTCCGATTTTCTATATAATTAGCAATACTTTAGACCACATGTAAACGAAGATTTTTTCGAGAGATTTAGTACAAAACAATGTTTTCCTCCGCAATCATCTCAAATAGTTTCACTGTCAGAATCCATTCTCCATTGTCACGTATTCTGGTCACGCTGAAAACAACTTTTCATTTCCTAAAATCGTATGATGAACATATTGTGATGAGTCAACGTGCTTTAATTTTTAATTACATAACAAAAATTGAAAGTTCAGGGGGGATATAATTTTCATCCGATTTAACTCCCTCCCCCCTTTTGGTTAGCAAATTGTCTATGATTATCTTATAGCAAGTTATTTTCGCTGTCATTCTAATGAAGAATGTTTTTTTTTCAAAAGTTTATGTCAGTGAAACGCACAATTTGAAATCGATAATTATAATTATTTTTCATTTTATCATCTCGTCAATGCCTTGTTATGATTCTTGTTTCGCTATTATATTATTAAGTTTTTACTCGCTAGTTGACGACTTTGTGCAGTGCTGTAGAACTAAATTTATCAGGTGGGGGGGCTCTCTTGACGAAGCTGAAGCCATGAAATTATGAAAAATTACCCATTTCGAAGATAGAGGGGCTCCTCCCCAAGCGCCCCACTTCTACAGCACTGACTTTGTGTGCTGTACACAAAATGATTTAAATCCATTGTCACAAATATGTAAAACGTTGGCTTACAGGATGCGGTAAAGGTAGCAAGGAAAGAAGTTTAAGCTAATGATAGTAAGGCTTGAAATATTGTACCCAAGGCAAGGTCGATCTTGGATTGTTTGTTAGGTATATAAATATTTCCATAATTTCGTAAAAGCACTATTGCTAATGCGCATTTAATATAAAAGACAAGTTTTTTGAAAATAGACATGTTTCGACATCTCATGATGCCATCTTCAGTATAAGTGAAATAATAAGTGACTTTTATATAAACCATGTATCACTTATTATTTCACTCATACTGAAGATGGCATCATGAGATGTCGAAACATGTCTATTTTCAAAAAACTTGTCGTTTATATTAAATGAGCATATAAATATTTGTTGGTATATTGACACCCCTCTTTGAGTCCCCTCTAACCAAGGTTAGGAGGGGTGTACACCCTTATGCACCCCCCAGTCAATCCACCTCTATCTAGTGATTCCTGTTTGTTCACCTATATCCATCTCATCAAACATAATTTCCTGGATAGCATTGTTTTTCAAGTCTTCAAGTCCTTCAGAAGTTTGCCATACGTACCACCAAAGGGCATACATGCGTACGCAATAGCAGAGGAAACGCGGTAGCTCCTCAGTCCTCACAAGTAGGTGCATATACTATGGCAGTATGAAACTTATTACTACACAATATTTCGCTGGAGAGATTATAAAACTTGTCCCGAGATAAAGCTATGAATTTTCATATTCTTGGATCGCTCGTCAACGTTATGTACTGTTTTTCAAAATGACAGATTTTTATCGTTCGGTTATCGCTTGGAATTTCTTCCCACTCTCGTGAGGATATGAGAATTTTTTTTCCTTCTGATGCCTTTTGTCATCAAGTTAATTTCTATTGATAAAAATGTCGCTGTATTTATAGTACAACGGAATAATTCTCTTCGAGTCTTTCCTCCGCTCCTTCGATTTTCGATTCTTTCGAAAGGTTTAAAATAAAGATGGCCTAGGAAAAGAGTGTTTCAGACTTAACTGTAGGATTAACAGATGTGTTTGCTTATTAAAGGACAGCCGCGTTCACTGTTTGCGTGCTAATATTTTACTTTATGCATGTTTTTTGTGTGGGAGTTTTGAGTTATGCATATAGTGTCGAGCTCATTTCATGATATGCAAATGCTCCAAAACACAGTTCATGTTGGAAATTTGGAACATTCGTTTACGATCAATGCATGATTAGTTAATTCAAAGGAATTCTCGGAAAACTTGCTTTTTTTCTTCTTGTATGTATCTACTGAAACGTGAGCGCAAGTTTTGAAGAAGGAGGAATTTCAGTTTGGAAGAAAAGGTTCAGCAGTATAGTCTCATTGATGCATATTTTATATGATAGTCAGGTCTAAAGATTTATTCTCGAAAGCTTTTGTGTATGTATAACATTTCATATATTCATATGGTCTAAAAGAGGCAATTTTAATAGCAGTTATTTTGAATTTGTTTTTGAGTTCGCTTGATCGTCTATAAATTGTTAAGGTCTTTCTGAGGCCAAATGTGTTCGTCCTTTTAATAACAATTTATACTTTTTGCAGCGGGAGATTTTCTCAATCAAGAATATATACAGATAGCGGATCGTGGCTTTGTATAAGGTAAATAGTATTTCACCTAAAGCAACTCAATGTTTTTTTTCTTGGGGTTTTATACGACAACAGACTTAAACAGATTGCTTGCCTAATCCAACAAGCTATTATACCTAAGTGTTTTTCGCATATATTTTTTTCCTCTCTCAAACTGCATTTCCTTATGAAATGGTTGTACGTTTCGGGCGTTTGTATTTTGGATGTATCAGAGAAAATAATTTCGATGTTTTTAATGCATCTCAAAAAAATAATTTCAATAAAAATTTCATGATCATCATTTTGATATGTGGCGCATTAGGCGCGCATGGTTAGTTGTGGAGTTTGTTTTCCTATGTTTCGATAGTTGTTTTTCATTCATTGTCTTTTTGTCGACTGGAGTTGATTGAAACACTGGGTGAGCGAAGTTTTAGTGAATTGTCTCCAACAAGATATTAAAGTTTTGCCATGCGATCTCTCTGTAGTCAAACGAAACGCTCCGTGTGGGAAAACACGAGTCTAAATACACACACCTGCCATTCGTTGCAAGAAGTCGTTTGCATGAAGAAAATCGTCGCGTTTTCCTCGTTAAAACAATTTTTAATCATGTTTACAGTTTGCATAATATGCATTCATGCATTAATGTTAATATTGCTGTTTCATTTTATGATGAAAACAAATGTATATTTGTTTTCTTTGAAATCGAAATTAAACTCGCACGTGCGAAAATGTTTAAACATTTAGGGCGAAGAATTTTGCAGCTCATAGCTACCGTCGTTGCCGTCTCTTCTCCCTGCTCTCGATGTAAAATTGCTGATTTTTATCAATTTTTATGGGTGATAAAGTGCAGGATTTTATCATAATACTTTTTTTTCGTAGGACATCACAACTAAACGATGTCGACAGTTACAAAAGAGTGCGTCAGTAAGCCAGAAGATAAACTTTTCAACGCGGTTAGAATGAATAAATTTCGTCTGGTTCGATTACTGATCGAAGGGGGCGTTCATGTGGATAGCCGTAACAGTCATGAACAAACTCCTTTGTTGATCTTATCCTCGTCTTTGAGAAACGCATCCCATAGTCGTAGCGAAACTTATAGAAAGGTTTTTAAGTATCTTATTACTGCTGGAGCTGATGTAAATGCTGCTGACGCAAGTGGAAGAACACCATTGATATATTCTGTGATAACGCGGCTATCAATCTTCTATGATCTTCTCAACGCAGGCGCTGATCCCTGGTCGCAGGACCGCAGTGGTAAATGTGCTTTTGACTATGCAATTCAGCAAAAAGATCTGCATGCTGTTGAAAAAATGGTTGAATCATGTAAGAAAGCAAGATCGTATGTCGTGGGAGACACGCGTGGAACAAGAGGGCTCGATAAAGCAGAAGGTCAAGGTGACAGACGAGAGAAGACTAAGAACAAGCAGACGAAGAGATCAAAATCGCCGATCAAAAGTCGAAAGGAATTTTCAAAGTCGAGACAAATGTACAGCGCACCAAATTTAAGAGTTCTCCACAAGAGAGATCAAGATTCTTCCTTTGCTCATCCTAAACCTTCCAGTTTACCACACGATGCACCAAAGCATACCTTGAGTATTGATATGAATAGTAACGTAGAGTCGCCCAAACTGACCGCAAATCCTACTCCATCCAGCGACCTCGCTGATTTGCAAGAAAACATTCATCTCTGTGATTTATGCAAGACAGTTTTCAAGGTTGAGAGCGTGAGAAAGGAATTAAAATCGGAGATGAAAGTTAACGAGGAAAATCTGAAATTGTTAGAATATGATTTTTCTGGTCTTTTGTTTCGTCGTCGCAGTACGGGAAGTTTGCTTGGATCGACAAAGAGAAGAAACGGATCCTTTCGCAGAGAACAACACCTTGCATTAACAATGGATGATATGTTTTCAAATTCATCATTCGACCATTCTGACAAATCGAATGACGAAATGTTTGACGACTCCGAGACAAACCAGAATATGGAAGCTTCGAATGAATTGTTGGTCCCCGATCGTTTGCGATCAATGAGTCTACCTCCAGCTCATTCGTTTATCATCTCGAATGTTACCGACGGTAAAACAGAAAGTCCTTCTCGTTCACCCAGTTCTTCAAGAAAGGCGATTAGTATTGCCTTGGCATGGCCATCCTCCACCGCGAGTGGAAGTCACGAGTCATGTGACAATTCCGGAAAGACGAGAATTTCGATGATGCCATCATTGTGCCTGCAGTATTTCGAAGCATTACGTCATCATCAGTAGAAAACGTGACATCATCCTCTGATGGAGAACATTTCCCGAGTTCAATTGCGGCTACTTTTGATCGGGGGAAAATGTCTTGTGAGAACCAACGAGATGACTGTCAGTCACCAATTCCTACGATCATATTGACAGATTATGTTAGCAAGAGTTAGCTTATGTGATTTTACTTCATTTTTAGCTGTTTTACTCTCGCGTAAACTGACATTAGCTGATTTTACTATTGGGAAACTCCTAGCTGACGTCAAAAACATTTTACTTATTTTGCCATTGTTCTATTCTATTGTTCTCTCATTATCGTTCTCTCTCCTATACATAAATTATGCACTACATAAATTAACGATAACTTAAATAATTTGAATTAACTCAAATTCTGCTTGAAATAAAATGGCGGGAAGAAAAATTAGTTGCATTGCTGCAATGTCCAGCAAAAATAGAGGAATTGGAAAAGATGGAAAATTACCTTGGCGTTTAAAGTATGAAAATGATTGTCGATTGTTTTTTGTAGTGTTAATGACTTATATTGGATTATTGTAATTGTACGTATTTAGATCGGAGATGAAGTATTTTTCAAGAATTACAACGGATGTCAAGCATGAAGGTAGCTACATCTCTCCTTTACATTACTACATCTTTCCACAACCCCATCTTTCCTTCACATCCCTATCTTTCCTCTGCACCCTATTTCCTTCACAACGCTACATCTCTTCCCATACTTCTTCCTCTTATCGAAACCCTATCTTTCATGTCTAAATCATATCTTTTATGAAATTTTGAATCAAATTTTACTACTTCCTGTGATAATTGGTACCATATTATGGTTTGTATGCAGGAAAACAAAATGCAGTAATTATGGGTCGAAAGACTTGGGAAAGTATTCCTACAAAATATCGACCAATGGCAGGCCGATTGAATGTCATACTAAGCAAAACAATGAGGTAAACACAACAGCATATCTTGCTGGTTTTGGTTCTGTTATGTAAATTTTAATGGTACATCATGATTCATTTAGAAATCTATTGTTTTCATAATTACCGAACACAGAAAAATTTACTTATCAGGACCAAATTTGCATGCTGGCAATGCAATTGAGTATATAAAAAGGCATGATAACTTATCTCCTAATATTTTTGTGTGATTCAGTGAAGCTCCAGACAATGTTTTGCTCTATCCAGACTTGGCAACTGCATTAGATGCTTTATCTCAAGCTCCCTATGTGGAAAGCATAGAAAGTTTGTTTATTGTTGGAGGACATGGTGTTTATAAGGTAAACCATTGATTTCCTAGTAAGTGTTAGCCTGCTAGCCAATTAAGTATTTCTCACATATTAAGTTTTCACTTATATGTTGAACTTCCTGTCTGTATCTGTGGAGGGATTTTTCCCCTAGGCACTAGATTTCCCACATCATCCTACCCAGGGTAAAAAGTCAAGAAGTTCCAATGTGCATGCTAGGATGAGCATGTATCTGTGCTGAAAATTATCAGGAGGCTTGTGTCAGCAACCAAACTCTATCAATTGAATGGATTCGTATACAAGAGCTCTCCAGCTGAAAAATTCCACGTGTACCATAGTTAATTTGTCTGGGCTCCTGTGAGCACCTTCCTAGTTATATACATTATGTATACAATATGTAGTTATGGCCTGTTTTTTCATTGACTGCAGTGAGATAATTAGACTTTTTTCGCTTTCTTTCATAAGAGTTTCCACTAAGATTCAATGAAACAACATTAGATAATCTGTAAGGTGAATTGGGGACACAAATAGCAGCTCAACTTTATCTGTCATATTGAATTCTTTACATTAGGAATAGCTCATGTAGATGGTCATTGCCTGTACTATAAAACAGTAAAGTGATAGCATCACTTCATTCATTTTATTCCTCTCAGGAAGCAATGGTATCAGACAATCTTCATAGAATATACTTGACTGAAGTTCATATTGATGTAGAATGTGATGTATTTTATCGAATTTGACAAAGAAATTTTAAACTTGTAAAGTAAGTGTTATTAAGACAGTTCTTGGCATGAAACGTGAAAGGTCCCATGATATGTTAAAGGTACTAGATTTAGATTTTTTTTCATGCATTCCTGTAGTGATCCAACTGTTCCTTCTGAAATGCAAGAAGAAAATGGAGTCAAATTTCAGTATTTTGTATATGAAAAGAAAACCAAGAATGGTGAAGAATGAAAGTAAGATAGCATGTACGTGTGTGGAAGGTGTCTTAAAAACTTGCTAGTGAAAAGATGTATGGAAAGAACTATATGAGACATTTTGAATGTCAGAAAAAATTCTCTACTATGAAGTTAATATGATTATACCATGATAATGCCGGTCTTTTACCACACAATATTGAAAGTGGGGAAGATGAGGGAGGAGGTTTAAAAAACCAACACCCCCTCACTGTTATGTGACTATTCCAAAGGTGCAAAATCACTGAAAATCAATTTTCATCATTATTCCACGAAAATTCTTTGTCTTCGTAATCAAATGCATCTTTTTCTTTAACTTCCAAATCTTCTCCATATTGTATGGCATTATCAATTTGTACAAGCAAATGTTCAATTGACTCTTCCTCTGTCCTATTCAATGGTATAAACTGAACCATACTGAAGTTTTCAATGACATCAGCAAGGGCATTGTTTAGTTTTTCATGCTTTTTGTTCTGCCATGCTCCACTTTCATCCATTATGACTTTTGGATTTGGGTCAAGAAATCTACAAGGAATTAAAGAGTTTATTAAGCATACGAACTTAATGCATACGAACTTTGGGACTTGAAAAATATACTTAATAATAGTGTGTTGGAGACATGTATCGCTTGGTTAATCAAGTGTTTTTGGGACATGTGCCTGTTGGTTCATTAGGTGTGTTGAGAGGTGTATAGGTATTTGTTTAATCATGTGTTTACATGATGAAATGCATTTTTACTTTTGCTTCTTGAAGTTTTATACTTTTTTCAAATGTTTATCTCAAAGAACGGAGGTTTATACAGTTTCTATCATGAGAAAACAAGACTATAACCTTTCAATATTTTCTGCTTGGTCCTTGCTAAGCAGGTCCATCTTCGACATAACATTAATATGAGGTACCTCCAACTGCACCATAGCGGAAAGTGCTGCCAGTACACCAGAAAAAAACATGCTTGTGTTGACCATAAACTTTGAATCCACAAGAAACACGGCACACACCCTGATATCCCATTGTTGTAAAGTGTCAACAAACTGTCTCATTATCGGTATATGAGAGTAAAGCTCTATTTGACCTAGAAATAAGATAACATGAATTGTGGTGACAGGCTTAGAGTAATCAGACATCCCAATTGAGAGGTCTGTTTAAGAGGTTATCAACAATAAGAGGTAATTATGGATAGGCAGGGATACCTGGGCAATCAAAGATGAAATAATCCTCTTCAGTGTAACCTAACTGTTCCTCTAACCATTCAATGTTCTTGATCAAATATTCCATACAAAACACTAATCCACCATTGGGTCCAAGCTTTAGGTCATCTGCCTCCATGACATCTTCAAGTTGGACAAGTTCCCTAGTATCTACGTAAAGTGGATAGTCGAAATATTCCGCTGCGGGATCTAAATTAATCACGTGAACAACCCTTCCAATGTTCTCACAATGTCGAACTATGGTGTTGCAATACGTGGATTTTCCGCTTCCTGCAGGTCCTATCACAAGTTGAGCGTATCTCATGTTTTAAAAGCACAGCACCTAGACTGTTTTTTTAGGAAAAACGTAATTAGCATGAAACATAAGATAATTTGGTATTTCGCTCATCGGATGCCATCTTGAATGAATGTGGGGTCGATACTTCATGTCTCTTACATAATGTGTTCCAGAAAAGAGATTTATTCATTTTACATGCTTTTACTATTTATAAAATTATAGAATGCAAAATGACAACGAATTGTTTTACACAGTAAACAATGATGGAATAAATAGTGCTAAAATGTTATTTTTCATCAGTCATCCACCAAAAGAGAGCGAGCAAGATTTCTTGCCAGAGCGAGGCGAATCGGTTGAAATAGACCTAATTTATCTTGCTCTGAAATCTAGAAAAGGCAATAAAATAAGTAAGAATTGCCAGGATGGATTGTTTGTTGAGCAAATGGGAAAATAAATAACCTTGTCACTCCATGACGACTCCAAGCTACCTTTCTCCATCTCGTCATTAATTGTCGACTGTGTATTTCCAAGATAGTCCGCTGACCTAAAGGATAGTCTGAGCTCTTCCAAACACCGCATCAGCTCGTGGGTTTGAGAAGTTGTGAAAACGATCTGAAAGAACGAAATTTGACATAAATGCATCAACGACAAGGTACTATATTGTCATGATTCTCCTCCCAAACCTGGTCATGCTCCAAAAGGGGCAAGGCGTCTGTCAACAAAGACAACCAAATTCTAAAAAACAATACACTGTTCTCCATACGTTGCTTTCCATTATCTTTTGAATGTGAATTTTTGAGTTATTACCGTTTTGGAGCAAGTTGTGAGGTTAATAAAGACACCAAAAGGCCGGCAGCATCACTGAAATCTCCGTTGCCATACATTATATGAAATTCACGATATTTCCCTGATGATATAAAAAACATTTTACCTTAGCTGTGTACCAACTCACCCACCCCCACCCGGGAAACTGTCGTATACATATTGCTCGCTGTGTACTAACCCATCCCACCCCCACCCGGGAAACTGTCGTTCACATATTGCTCGCTGTGTACTAACCCATCCCACCCCACCCGGAAACTGTCGTTCACATATTGCTCGCTGTGTACTAACCTATCCCACCCCACCCGGGAAACTGTCGTTCACATATTGCCCTTTGGAATTGTCAATTTAAGGTGAACACTTCCCCCTTGTGTACGACACATTTATGGCTCAGAATAAGGACATTTTTAAGTATAACTGAGATATACACGGCAAGTTCGGTGTGATGAGTAAAATGATCTAAGGTTAACGAAGACATCGCTCCATAAGCCATAAAAATTAGCTCGTTTCAATTTGACAAAAACGACTGGCTGCCTCAGTTGATTAATGTAAGCGAGAGTCGTGTAGAAACGATGATTTTAAATCAATCTTAACGGATGTTTTAAAGCGAGCAGTACCGAGAAAGGTTAATTTGTCGCAAAGAAGCATTGACGATCCTAAATTATCGATGAGATCTAAACTTGGAAATTCTCCTTTGTCGAAATAATCGTCCATAAACCTATGAACAAAACAGGGATTACTTTGAATGCAGAAATTGTGCTTGGGGTGAAAAAAAAAAACGATTTACATACCTTTCTGCAATAAAGGAAGCGAATGCTGGATCCTAAATAGACATGATATCTTTATCATTTCTACTTGCAATGGTATTTTCTCTTACAATAATTCTGATGCTCCGGAAGAGTTTTTACCTTGGCTTTAATCGCCCATGATAAAGCTGATCCTAATCTGTGATTATGATATGCAGTCATGGCCATTTCTCTGCATATGCCTAAAGCTGAAGAAACAAAGACAGGTTCTCTATCGTTTTCAATACTTTATGTAATATCGCTCATGTGTCCACGAGGAGAGCTGCACCTTGTTTTGAAAAGTCATTTTTTTGACAAAGATGTAAAACTTTGAAAGCTTTTGTTTCCGTCTCTATTGGTATTCTCTCGATGTACTCTTCCAAGTAATGCCTGTTTCAAAAGAACGGACTTTTATACTCACTGCGCATGCGTTCTATCTACAACAAGCGCTCACCTTCCACTGGTTGGACAGCTTAGAAAGTATTCCGAAGCAACTTGCCAAAGACTACGAAGAGATATGTTATGAGAGTTGATTGGTGATTGGCTACTGTGTTGACTATTGATTGGGGATCGGCTACTGTGTTGACTATTGATTGGGGATCGGCTACTGTGTTGACTGTTGATTGGGGATCGGCTACTGTGTTGACTATTGATTGGTGATTGGCTACTGTGTTGACTATTGATTGGTGATTCGCTACTGTGTTGACTATTGATTGGTGATTCGCTACTGTGTTGACTATTGATTGGTGATTCGCTACTGTGTTGACTATTATAACTTCATTGTATAGTAATCACCTTTCGTGCGACATCAGACTTGACGCATATTCCAAGAGAAGAAATTCCCTCAAGTCAACTTGATACACACCTCTACACGAATAGTACTCTCGTTAAAAAATATCAGGGATGGATTTATGGGAGGGGTGCAGGGGGGTTCGCACCCCCTAGCCTTGGCTAGAAGTGTGCAAGGAGGGGAATTCCCCAACGAAATATCAATACATCAAGCAAGCAAAACAAATGTCAAACTACACATTTACCAGGGCTTAAGCCTAACCCAAAAAAAGTCAGACATGTGAATGACATAACGACACCCTCAAAGGAGCCACCAAATTCAAACTAGACTGACAAAACGACGTCTTATAAAAACTAGAGCACCCTCCCATAAAATCATCCTGGATCCACACTTAAACTAAATCTTCTAATTTACAAAGGACTTCGTTCTCTGAGCATTTCATCGTTGAGATGATGAAATTGAATCAATATAGTTAAAATAACTAAAGGTAATTATACGCACTCCGTCTAGCCTCAACTCGCAAGTGAAGAGTTACGTATAATCAACGCTTTGCTAAAACCATGAAAGTAAATGTTACGAGGATGCTCGGGGGATGTCGAAGGATTCTCTGTATTTGGCATGAAAACAAGTGGTATATTCTTACTGTGTTTGATGGTTATCCAGTTGATTACAGTGGTGAAATAAATCCACGATATGAGCAACGAACCACCAATTACCAAAACATTCGCTTCAAACACGATACACATCAATAATCGATTGAGAAGTCAAATGGAACGACCAAAAATTGAAAATTTATCGTGTTAACCCTACCTGCTTATCTTGATGACAGCATGAACATCAAACTCGATTGCTGCTAAGAGAATCATGTGCCACAGTTGAAGTGAATTCTTTCCTCCACAAAGATCGATACAAAACTACAAATGATAAAAATATGTCACAACTTATCTGATGACCAGGACAAGCAGACAATTTTAAGTAAAACAAAATAAAACGAATCCCGAAAACGGACATCTCGTTTTCTTGATATTCAAGATAATACAAGAGTTTGATGTCACTATTTGTCTGATGATGTCTTTGGAATAAAGACGAAATATTACACCATCTTTAGTTTCAAACTCTTGTATCATCTTGAATAACAAGAAAACGAGATGTCCGTTTTCGGAATTTGTTTTATTTTGTTTTACTTATCTGATGTTGCTGATTGCAAGGAACATTTTCCTCTCTGGAAATCCCGTCCAGAAATCTTGAACTTATTTGAACTTATCACAACTAACGATATATCTGACTCAGGGGTGGAAAAAGTTTTTTTTCTTTCTGGGAACCACGGCCAAATGCTAAAAATGTTCTGTGAAATTCGATTGTTGAAATCACCAAAATAACAAAAATATGAATCATGTTTAATTATTAACTATCAATTATGACGTTAAATAAACCGATTTAGAAATGTTGTAATGGTTCCTGCCGATTGATTTTCTGCCAAAATCTCAACTCTATAAGATTTCTGGAAACTACGTTCCCAAGTTCCGATACTTTTTCCAGCCCTGATCTGACATGATTCTTTCCTACTACCTCATTGAAATGGTGGAATGCTTGCTCGCTCGAACATGCAATATACATTCCTAAAACAGGGTAGAATCAAAAATACCTTTGTATGATATTGTAGCTCGTACGATTTGATGTTAGGGTTAGAGTACAGGAGCTTTGCAACCATCAATTCATACCAAGATAGATCCTCACAAATGCCTCTATACAATAGAAAAAAGTGCGTTTAAATCTAACAAAAATACCGCGCAGATGGTATGACTACATTCCTTACTTTACTTCAACAAATGCCTTGTTATCTCCGCAAAGAATCTTAAAAGCAATTTGGAAAAAAGGGTTTTTGCTAAGAATGATGACGCAATGGTTAATTCAACTATATGTACCCGTGTGTACCTATGTAATCAATGGTTGATTCGACTATATGTATCCGTGTGTACCTGTGCAATCAATTGTAATTGTGGATAAGACGCCAAATCACCAAAAGAACATTTACTCTGGCATTCCTGCCTCCAATAGTTCCACTTCATCGCAAACTCAGAATGGCCAACGAATGACTGAAAATAGGCATTTCAGATATTGATGCTCATAATTCTGAGTGATTTAACAGAAAACTTGATTAGATTTTATTGATGTTGTTATTCAGGCACCTTAAACGATGGCATTTTCTTTAAGAGATCATCCACTATCGCAAATTCCTGAAAAAATAATTCGACCCGTGTTCATTTCCTATCAATTTAAGCACGAGCAAAAAAAAAGATTTCGGCTATTAATAAAATAGAGACTTTGTCGTGGTGACTAATCTGAAAATCGGTATTGCAATCTCTACCATTCACCATGGTATTTGCAATCTCTACCATTCGCCATGGTATTTGCAATCTTTACCATTCACCATGGTAATTGCAATCTTTACCATTCACCATGGTATTTGCAATCTCTACCATTCACCATGGTATTTGCAATCTCTACCATTCACCATGGTAATTGCAATCTCTACCATTCACTATGGTATTTGCAATCTCTACCATTCACCATGGTATTTGCAATCTTTACCATTCACCATGGTATTTGCAATCTCTACCATTCGCCATGGTATTTGCAATCTTTACCATTCACCATGGTATTTGCAATCTCTACCATTCGCCATGGTATTTGCAATCTTTACCATTCACCATGGTAATTGCAATCTTTACCATTCACCATGGTATTTGCAATCTCTACCATTCACCATGGTATTTGCAATCTCTACCATTCACCATGGTAATTGCATCTCTACCATTCACTATGGTATTTGCAATCTCTACCATTCGCCATGGTATTTGCAATCTTTACCATTCACCATGGTATTTGCAATCTCTACCATTCGCCATGGTATTTGCAATCTTTACCATTCACCATGGTATTTGCAACTCTACCATTCACCATGGTATTTGCAATCTTTACCATTCACCATGGTATTTGCAATCTCTACCATTCGCCATGGTATTTGCAATCTCTACCATTCGCCATGGTGTTTGCAATCTTTACCATTCACCATGGTATTTGCAATCTCTACCATTCACCATGGTATTTGCAATCTTTACCATTCACCATGGTATTTGCAATCTCTACCATTCGCCATGGTATTTGCAATCTCTACCATTCACCACGGTAATTGCAATCTTTACCATTCACCATGGTATTTGCAATCTTTACCATTCACCATGGTAATTGCAATCTCTACCATTCACCATGGTAATTGCAATCTTTACCATTCGCCATGGTATTTGCAATCTTTAAAACGATTTCGGCTATTTTAATTTCATCTTCACGGTTAAGTTACGCGATCAATTTTTCCCTTCCCTCGCAAAAAGAGAAAGTTAAATATATATTTTCGAAAGACTACGAACATCTTGTCCATCTGGATTTCTGTCGTGATGTTGTGATAACAATTCTCTTGCTTCTTTTATGCGTCCTTGAAACAGTAAATAATAAATCTAGAAGAGAAAGAAATTTTTTTCTGCCTTGACTTTGCCTGTTTTCATTACGTTTACGTAAATAACAATGAATATTTAGTCAACATACGGCCCGCCAATAATTGTGACATTCTGATGGGTTTGCTGATTCAGCAACTTCCCTCGTGACGTTGTCAGCCGTATGACAGTGCCATTTTACCCAATCAAGTAAATGTTGCAATACAACACCGCCTAAATAGTGAATCAGTTAATATCTGAAGCACATGAAAAAAGGATTAGCAAAGGGACGCGTAGTGACCTGGTAATTTTTCAATCAACAAGATTTCACATAGATGCCAGACCAGTTCAATAAAACTTAGCAGTTGTATCTATAAAATATGTTATTAGCAATCGTGTTTTGCAATTAAATTACTTGTATAAAATGATTGGATGGATTGGTTTTCTTCCTACAAAATAATTGGATGGATTGGTTTCTTTCCTATAAAATGATTGGATGGATTGGTTTTGTTCTTACAAAATGATTGGATGGAGAGGTTTGTTTTCTATAAAATAATTTGATGGATAGGTTTCTTTCCTACAAAATGATTGCATGGATTGGTTTCTTTCCTACAAAATGATTGGATGGATTGGTTTCATTCCTACAAAATGATTGGATGGATTGGTTTCATTCCTACAAAATGATTGGATGGATTGGTTTCATTCCTACAAAATGATTGGATGGATTGGTTTCATTCCTACAAAATGATTGGATGGATTGGTTTCATTCCTACAAAATGATTGGATGGATTGGTTTTGTTCCTATGAAATGTATGTCAAAGGAAAACATCAAACCTCTTCAGCATGTTCATACCATTACTAGTGCAAGTGAATAGTCCTATATCTTTGGTGTTTTCCTAAGCAACTATAATGTTGCTGTGCATTTGTGGAAATCCCTCCCTCCTCCCTTCATTACCTGGTCATATTCATCATTGTCTGTCATGGCATTTGGATCATCTTGTTTAAATCCAAGTAAGCAAGCTCTCAAGACTGCTCGATATCTGCGGCTGAATGTTACCAGGCTGAGGGACGACAATATACTTATTATCAATTGCTGGAAGAACTGAATCCATGAATTATACTGTCAGGAATTCTACCTTGCATTTTTTGTTTGTGAAGGAGCTTTGTCAAGTTGTTGCAAGTCCAGAAATATAGCTAGATCAGATAGATGAGATCTGAGGTATTGTGAAACCTAAACTGCGTATGAATGAAAAAGGTATCATGTACCATAAGTCTCGTTGATTAATCTTCTTGTTGTTTTGTTTTGCAAGTCAGCGTCCATTCTCATTTGGTAGATTGTGTTTGAAGATGGAGATGCATTTAAACGTTCATATTCCACTAAAGATATGAATTTCATGCTACATCATTGGACTCAAAGAAAATAAAAAGGCAATTAAACATTTGAACTATTCGTACAATATGCTACAACCTATGTGTCAAGTATGAACACAACATTAAACATAATCAGCAATTCACTTTTTCAAAATTGCATGTTACATAAAGATATCGTTCCAGTCCAGTACATTGTACAATTAGGAAATAACTACAATACATACAAAATAATGAGCTGCATAGCTTGTGTCAATGAGATTGCAAGAAAGAGTAACAGAAAAGCTGTAACTTACATTTAGGCTGTCCAGCAAAGGCCCAAATAGAATTTTCACCTCCCCAAGAGGCGTAAACATTTCCAACAAGTGGTATAAAGGTTGGCTGGCAACGATCAAACAAACGTATTTCAAGACACGACACACACACAAACATACACACGTGTTTCGTATTCATTTTAATATGTTTCGCCTAATGAACTTACCCGACTGACAATGTCTAATTCTTCCATAGTCTGTCATTCAAATGTTCAACAGGTTGACAGAGGAAATGATAATTTCCATAAAATAGTTCACTCCTTCGTCAACGCCATATTTGAATTTTATATCTTACAAAATTTAGTTCAACTTGATCCCATCTACCATGATGATATTCGGATACACTTCGGACTGTCAAAAAATTCAAGTGCAAAGTATCAAAGTCCACAAAAATGATTTCAATATTTCTTCCTTCAAAGGAATTGCCTTGCTTCATGGTTGGTCAGTTTTTCTCATACTGTTATTTCATTGGCTAACGGCTAATTGTTGATGCATTTTTTCAATTTTACTTTTCTTGCCGACCGTACGCAATATGTCTTAATTTTACAGACCCTTGAAATTACAGTTATTTTTGAACAAATATGGCTGAAGCTCGTCTCGCCGTATCAAAAATTAAAGTTGATTATCATGCTGTAGGAACCAGTAAAAGTGAAGCAGAAACTGAGTTTTTTACGTCTTTTTACAAGTCGACAAAGCAGTGTTTTCGTCGCACAAGGTATGTAAACATATGTCTGTTACTTAGTTCGTGTTCATGTTACTTCTTTCTTGCCGCTATCATTTATTTAATACGGCATGACAAATATGAATCGGTAAGTCAAATCTGACAAATGGAAAAATTGATTTATGTTCCATCAGTTGTTATATAACAAACATTTTAGACAACAAAAGAAATTTGCAGAATATATTAAATCTTTTTGTGATTCTTGTGGACAGAAACGCCTACACGACACCCAACCATGTCCAATGTTGCATAACATATGTCAAAGTCCAAACTTGATCACAAATGCTAACCTACGTGACCTGATGCTTATAGTGAAGGACAATCGCGTTTCTTGACCATAAAATTTCACCTGCCATCATGTACGTACGCGCTTTTTACGGTATTTTTTGACTTATTGAATTTTTCTTTTCCAGATCACAAATTTTGAACGGCCTATGGCCAACAACTCCTAGTAATCTTCTTCTGACATGGGCGGTTGTGGGATTCTTGATGTATTTGGAAAATATTTATTTAAAACCAATCACAAGCAGGCTGTTTCTTATTGGGAATTTTCTTCACATTAATCATTATCATTTATATCTTCGGATTTTGGCCATCTCGTTTATAACGGCTGCTGGATTCTTTATCGTTCTTCTTTATGCAAGGCAATGGTCTTTGAGAATACTGCTGTCATACAGAGGATGGATGTGTTAGTAGTGTTGATTGATTATTTGATTCATCATGACTTGTATTGTTTCACTTTTCTACTGTTCACAATGGTGTTGACTGTTGTTGTAATGACTGTGAGCATTGATGTTAAAGTAGGAATTTTCTTGTGACTTATCTGACAATATCCCACAGCATTGAGAGTTGACACAGTTGTACAAGTGTGCATAAGTGACTCATTTCTCCATGAGTAGCTTTAGATTATGTCAATTTTTGCGTGGCTTGCAGGAACAAATTTCTCTGGATCGAATGTTTATTTTGCAGTTGTTAAAAATCTCACTGTTCCAAGGCTCATATACTTTCGCTTTTCTTACAGATGAGAATCCTCGTAGCCAAAGTTACAAGACATTAATATGGGGTTTGTTTGCATTACCATTGGTGGTGCCCATCCTCGATTGTACAGTTATCAAAACAGCTTGCACGCATGCCTGTGCCAAATTTGCATGGCACATGTCAGGGATACCTCAAGTCAGTCAAACATATACTTCAGGACAATGAGTATGAAGAGATGAAGAAACTGGCTGTGGTATGCAGTTTCACGACTTGGATCAATAGTTAATTGCAAATTAGCTTGTCTTTTTCAATATTGTATAAAAATATGGCTGTATTAATCTGTTAATGGCTAAATTGTTATGGGTTGATTCGATGAAACAACATTTTATTTGTAAGCTTGAGGTCATTTTTTCATTTCGAACTTGTGGGTTTTTGTGACATTTACAAGTTACACCAGGAAGTGCTAAATCAACTTTGCAATTTTATACAAATTGCCTTGCTAAATTGTGAAATGTGAATTCTGACCCTGTGTGATTATTTGTAATTATTTTTAGAATTTCGAGTCCAATCTTGGTCCAAAGTTGCAGTTTATACTTCAACTACGATCATGGTTCAAGTCAAATTATTACACGGACTGGTGGTATGACAGAGAACGTATTACCTCACTTGAATGTGTTGAGAAACCTGCGCATTGCGTAGCATGATAAAGCTTTGAATTTTATTTACTTACAGGGAGAAATATGTTTATCTAATGAGCCGTGACTCAATTGCCATCAACAGTAACTATTATTGCATTGATCATGCGTTTTGGAAGCCAACAGGAGTTCAAACAGCAAGGTGAAATTAATATATACCTAGTTTTGTTGTTTGATGAAACACTTTGATTGATGGAAAGTCATTTTTATCTTAGTTACAACTCATAGAAGTTAGAGGCTTACAGCTATTGTCTGTCAAAATGTTTTAATGCTCCCAATTCTGATAATTTACAATGAGTTCATGAAGGTGTGCCTTTCCCTACCCCCCTCATTGAAAGCTCTGCATGTTCCGGCATAATTACTCTAAAATTTCTTATTTCAGAGCTGCTGTATTTACAGCTCTTCTTTACGAGTACTACTGTCATATTGAAAATGAGGAATTGGAACCTTTGAGCATAAGGAAGACCATACCTCTATGTATGGATCAATACAAGAGAACATTTAAGACGAGTAGGTAAGAAGAAGCACTATATGTTCTTGTAAAACTAAAGATCAAATTTCTTAAAAACAGTGATGTAATAATTTACCATCTATCAAATTTATGTGAATAGCAAATATATGCACAAATTGGTATGCAGATAAACACAAAGTCAAGCTGATTTCATGCGATTATTGAAGCAATATTTCTTGCAGCTTCTGTTTAATTGTTTTTTTCCCAAAGAATTAATCACAAATAGTTGCATAGCCATGTCACCAGTTTTAGTTTAGTAATGTTGTGTAAACTCAGGGCCTAAAGAAAAATTACCATAGCAGGCGTAGCTATATAATTAAGCAGACTGTCTATGCCACGAAAATTACAGAAAGCAAACGTCAATCGATATTAGCTGTTTCCTTTAACTTAACCTATGAAACTGTTTTTCTAATCAACAGTAAAAATGTCCTTCAATTTTAAGAATCCCGGGAAAAGAAGTTGATGTTATTGCTCATTATCATCATTCCTTTAATGAGGTTGGTTTTATGCAGTGCATATTGAAGCTTTAGCACACTCACTTGTGATGAAATATCTTTATATTTAGCACATCGTCGTGTTCTGTAATGGTAATATGTATCAAGTGGACGTATCAGATGACCACGGAACGCCTGCCTCATTATTGGATCTTGAAAAGCAATATGAATGGATCAAGCATGATGCATACCAGTCTAAAAGTATGAAATTTAGAGGGTGGCAATTTCTTCATAGTACCCCCTTCGTTAGTGACAAGGAAACATTTGCTAAACCAGTTATTTCCTGTGGTACCACCACCTTATAATGTTGTATAAAAATTTTACAGCAAAATATGTTACCCATGCCTTGGTGAGATCAGTGAGATGCTTACCTTAAAAGATCTGCTTAGTGTTATGTTCATAATTTATTACCAGGATGTTGCTGGGGTTTTACCAAGGTGTTACCAATTTATTACTAGGGTGTTACGAAGGTGTTACCAGGGTGTTACCAATATGTTACTAGGGTTTTACCAGGGTGTTACCAAGGTGTTACCAGAGTGTTACGAATGTGTTACTAGGGTTTTACCAGGGTGTTACCAGAGTGTTACCGATATGTTACTAGGGTGCTACCAGGGTGTTACCAATGTGTTACCAGGGTGTTATCAATGTGTTGCTAGGGTTTTACTAGGGTGTTACCAATGTGTTACCAGGGTGTTACCAATGTGTTACCAGGGTGTTACCAATGTGTTACTAGGGTTTTACCAAGGTGTTACACACCAGTGTTTACTCTGGGAAAGATCATGACAGGTGTTTTGCACTTTTCAATGGTACTTTTTTTGCTGTTAGCTACTAAAGAGCAACCTGTTGGATGTATACCAGCATTGACAAGTCTACCACGTACAGAATGGTACAATATTCGACAAGAACATTTCTCAGATGGTATCAATAAGGATTCTTTGGATATTATTGATCACGCTTTATTTATTGTAAGTCCCGTCTGACCTTATATCGTGTTGTACTGTCATCATGCCTGCTGCTTTTTGTTATGAAGCACCGTGTATAGTCTTTTTTTCTTTTATACTGTCCTCTCTTGTTTTGTACAGTCCTCTCTTTCTTATAAACAGTCCTTTCTTTTATACTGTCCTTCCTTTCTTTTATACACCCTCATTATTCTCTACTTTTACCATCGTTGCTTCACTAGTCTCTGCTTTTAACAAACGTTGCCTCGCCATTCTCTACTTTTACGAGGGTGGGCATGAGCCTCCCAAATAGTTTTGAAAGATTTAAAATCTTGTGCCAAATCTCTCAAATCACACCTTCATAACATAACTGTTACGTCAAATAATGACCAATCGATAGACTTCTGTACTGTACATGTACCAGCGAACGCATTTTGTGTGTGTAGGATTTTCTGTGCGTAGGAATCCTTAAATTAAATTTATTGAGATCATATTTTAGAGGTATACGTATAAGTTTGCCTCGGGATATCCCTAGAAATCTTATGCCTTGAGGACGACCCACCCCACCCCCCTCACTATATGTTATATAGTGTCCGCCATTGTTTAAGGTCCTCATTCCTGTTGTATACACTCCTTGGGGGATACCCCATCAAGTTCACTTTGTGTAGCTGTAATATAAATTTTTAGTAATTGTGCCACCAACAAAGTACTGTTTGGAAAACATAACTCGCTCCTCTCGTTTGTTATACGAAGTTTGATCAACGAAAGCTTTCCTTGTGAATATCTTTCCTTTCAACAGGTTGTGTTGGATGAACATGAAATACCTGACATCAGCGAGCGTTCCAAATACCTTCTTCACGGTGATGGAAAATCGTTTTGGTTCGATAAAAGTTTCTCAGTTGTTGTATTTGCGGACGGTAAACTTGGTATGAATGCAGAACACTCGTGGGCTGATGCTCCTGTCATAGGACATTTACTGGAGTACACGATCACTGAAGAGTTAGTGTCATATATTATCATAGTTGTAGTCTTTACATGTATGTAGATGTAGAGCGTCCAGTTTAGCATAGTCCTGAGAAGGACTGTTGTTGTGATGTTGACTGACGTTTCGACAACCTTAGCAGTAGTCATACTTACCGGACTCTACTAATCTGGACGATATACATCCACAAACATGTAACGATACTCCTGGGTTCAAACCATTTACTATATACTTGTAGTCTGTCGATATACTCTTAGAATGGATCTGTGGATCCTTATGAATATTGACAAGGCGGAGTATAAATCGATCACCGAAGACTTAGAAAAATCCCCTCATAATTAAAGTCAATTTCATAACCCCATATATTTCTAAAGAAGACCTGTAATTTGGCTGCGAACGTACAAGGTTATCATATTTTGAAACTGTCGTTTCGTTTTCAATTTCCTAGGTTCTTATACCGTACATACAACGATAAAGGTAGATGCAAGCCGTTCGGTAAAGTCCACAATTCCAATGGCCAATCAACACATCCTATGAAGTTGTACTTTGATGTGACGCAGAAACTTGCATCCCATATTGAAAATGCTGTCACACGAGCGAAGAAGGTATATCTATGGTTGTATCCTCTTTATGTATGGCTTTATCCTTTATATCTATGGTTGTATCCTCTTTATGTATGGCTTTATCCTTTATATCTATGTCTGTATCCTCTTTATGTATGGCTTTATCCTTTATATCTATGGTTGTATCCTCTTTATGTATGGCTTTATCTTTTATATCTATGGTTGTATCCTCTTTATGTATATCTGTATCCTCTATATGTATATCTGTATCCTCTATATGTATGTCTGTATCCTCTTTATGTATGGCTTTATCTTTTATATCTATGGTTGTATCCTCTATATGTATGGCTTTATCTTTTATATCTATGTCTGTATCCTCTTTATGTATGGCTTTATCTTTTATATCTATGGTTGTATCCTCTATATGTATGGCTTTATCTTTTATATCTATGTCTGTATCCTCTTTATGTATGGCTTTATCTTTTATATCTATGGTTGTATCCTCTATATGTATATCTGCATCCTCTATATGTATGTCCATATCCTCTATATGTAAGTTTGTATCCTCTATATATATGTTTGTATCCTCTTTATGTATGTCTGTACCTCTATATGTATGTCTGTAACCTCTATGTATGTCTGTATCCTCTATATATATGTCTGTATCCTCTATATGTATGTGTGCATCCTCTATATCTATGTCTGTATCCGCAATATCTATGTCTGTATTCCCAATATCTATGTCTGTTATCCTCAATGTATGTCTGTATCCTTTATATATATATATATATGTCTTTATCCTCTATATTTATGTCTGTATCCCCAATAACTATGTCTGTATCCCCAATATCTATGTCTGTATCTCCACTATCTATGTCTGTTATCCTCTATATCTATGTCTGTATCCTCTATATCTATGTCTGTATCCCCAATATCTATGTCTGTATCCCTACATCTATGTCTGTATCCCCAATATCTATGTCTGTATCCCCAATATCTATGTCTGTATCCCCAATATCTATGTCTGTATCCTCGTCGACTATCTTCCCTTTCAGAATAACGATGATCTACAGTTGAAGCTTTTGAGTATGGATGATGTTGGTAAAGGTTTCATAAAAAAATGTAAAATGAGTCCTGATGCTTTCATTCAAGCAGCTTTACAACTTGCTTACTATCGCGATAGTGGCGGTGTTCTTCCGCTTACGTATGAAGCTTCCATGACAAGATTATATTTGCATGGACGGACGGAAACTGTACGATCGTTAACCGACGAGTCACGAGCTTTTGTTTTGTAAGTTTGCATGCATTCTGTATCTTATATCATATAATGTATCGTGGAGTTGGATCCAGGCATTTGATTGTATGGTAGGTGTTGACTAGGGATTTGATTGTATCGTTTGTGTGGACCGGGGGTTTTGATTGTATTGTAAGTGTGGACCGGGAGGTTTGATTGTATCGTAGGTGTGGACTGGGGGCGGTTTGATTGTATTGTAGGGGTGGACTGGGGTTTGATTGTATCGTAGGTGTAGACTGGGGCAGTTTGATTGTATTGTAGATGTAGACTGGGGGTTTGATTGTATGGTAGGTGTGGACTGGGGGTTTGATTGTATGATAGTTGTGGACTGGTGGCTGATTGTATCGTAGGGTTAGACCCTGGGTTGTGTTGCCTCACAAATGCATGAGTGTAGAAATGAAGTTCCTCTGAGTACGTACGTGCATACGTTATAACTGCAAACATTCTGCTTGAAGAGAGGCCTGAATAAGAAAGGCAATATGTGCTTGTATGTTTAGTTGACAGAAACACACGTTGCTTACCATGTTACCGCAGTGTGCTTTAATAAAAAATAGACACGTGATTGATTTATCTACAATTATTGACATACGTAGAGCTATGGAAGACCCAGATGTTCCACCTGAACAGAAAATATGTCTTCTTCGTGAATCTGTGAAACGCCATCAGGTATGTTGCATAGTACACCCTTACAAAATACCATTTCTTGAACGATATTTTCTGTTCATTTGATGTCATGAATTTCTTTAAATCCATTGCAGGTGTTGTATAAAGACTGCATGAATGGAAAAGGAATTGATCGTCATTTGTTTTCACTCTATGTGGTAGCCAAAGGACAGGGTCATGTAAGTGTTTAATACTGTGGTATTCTTCATGTTTTTCTTCGTGTAACCACGTATCCTGTTATGCACTTATCTAAATGTTGACCACGGAATGGTGTTCTTAATGTTAACCTTAGTATAAGTACCTACATGTCCTGTGATGTACTTGTGTAGGTAGTGATCACAGCATGTGGTATTGTAAATGTTTACCTCATCTCTTAGACATACTTTTGTAGGAATGGTGTTCTTAATGTTAACCTTAATATAAGTACCTACATGTCCTGTGATGTACTTGTGTAGGCAGTGATCACAGCATGTGGTAATGTAAATGTTTACCTCATCTCTTAGACATTCTTTTGTAGGAATGTGAATTTCTTAAGCGTGCGCTAACTTTACCTTGGACACTATCAACAAGTCAACAACCACAACAGCAAATGTTCAGACTTCCTGGTTACACTGTGAATGATCCTGCTTTTCGAGACATGGTGAGGCCTGGCATTTTGTATTTAAAAGAAACATGGCATGTGAACTATTTGATGATTATGTTGTAGATTTGCCCAGGTGGTGGATTTGGTCCTGTGGTGGATGATGGTTATGGTGTGTCTTACATGGTTCCTGATGACAATTATTTCTTTTTCCACATTTCTTCCAAAAGATCATCATCGAAAACTGATTCAGAGAGGTTCATGGATCATGTAGTGAAAAGTCTCCATGACATGAAGGCAATGTTTCTTGAAGTGGAAGGAAAAGGAAAAGGAGCCAAGAAAAAAGACCAATGAATGTTGCACGGTAACATGGTTTCAATCATGAAATCATATTTATGTTCTTAGTACTTGACCTTTGGAATGATTAGGTTATTAAAGTTAAATAAAGGTAATTTTGTAAAATTTCAAGGTGTGTTATTTTTATATGTAAATGCGTTTTTTTACACAGATGTTAATGTTGTACCATTTTAGTTATGCTGTGTAACTATTTAACATGTTCAGGAAAAATTGTATTTTATGATCTGTACATTCAAACTTTTTCAGCATTTTTATCTCATTTGTACAGTAATGAGGATGTAATAAATATTTATTACTCAAAGACTTTGTCATTTCATTCGAGTGAACGCCAAATCTTCAAGCTCTTAAGCTATGGGAACTTTAACACAACATTCAGTCCCGGGGTATTTAGGTAAATCCAATTGATATTTGTCTTGCAGAACTTCTGGCACAAATCTTCCACCAACAAAGTGATGTTGTCCACAAAAGAGCTTTGCACAAAGCTTTGGAGCAGTAAGAGAAATCAAAAAATCCGGTTGTAATCCATCTGGTGCTCCTTTTTCCACATCCCAGCCTACAAGAAAATAGACAGTGTAAAATTGAATAGTCTATTTTCAGAGTGTTGCATCCTGAAGCTAATGCTTTCACAATAAATTTTTGGAAAATTCAATGTCTGTTGTCTTTACCTAACCAAAAGTATTTCTTTATTACCTGAAGGCACATCAACTGAACATAAAGGAATTTTGACACTTTTTAATGAATCTATTATAGCACCAAATGGCTCACGAATATTCCCTTTAAAACTAAACCCAAATATGGCATCCACTATAAATGTGTAGCTGTCATCAATGTCTTTGCAAGAAGGGAGCACATCAACAAATGGAATATTCATCAGAGTACATTGAGTGACAAGGTTATTGAACAGGTCTTTGTTTGGTCTTTTGGATAAAAATAAAAGGAGTATAACCCTAAAATAAAAATTTGAAGTAAGTGTTGTATATCTACAATGAAAATACAATATTATCTCGACCCCTTGATGAATAAGTGTTCAATATCCACATCCCCACGATGTCATATAGATAAATTCAAGCATGAACTTACAAACATTTTCAAATGCCTAGCAGCAACTAAACCGTCTCCTCCGTTATTTCCAGGTCCGCAGCACACCAGTACATTGTTCGATTGTTTTTCGCACAAGGGATATACTTTAGCCAGGGCAACGGCGACACTGAGTCCAGCCAACTCCATGAGTTGATCAACACTAAAAGCGAACTTTGTAAACAATTCTTGATCGATGTTCTGAGCTTCTTCCTGAGTAAGGTACTTCATTGTTATTGTTCTCCTCAATTGAAATCCAAAAACGCAACCAAGAGAGCTTTTTCTTGCGAGAAACAACCGCAAAGACATACAAACAGTAGAGCAATAGTACTTTGCTTAGGATCCTACGGAACTGAATTTACCTACCTCCGACATGTTTACCCTCAGGAGTATGCCCCAAGTGGTATGCCCCCTATGGTACAATCCCCGCTACAGGATGAAGTACAATTATAGCCTCCGATGGATAAATAAATGAAAATTTGAAGACAGACGAGTTTAATATACAAACTTCAAACAATTATGAATCAAAGTCATTGGGTAATTTCTTTTTTCATTTAACATATTCTGGGTTCAGTTTTTTAGATTTTAGTTCTTATAGATGACTTACTTTGTTTACGTTTTGCAAATTAACCCAAGCCAAGAGATTTTGCACTCGACCAAATCTGCTTGCCAGCAAAAGGCAAGCATCTTCCTTGATTTCCTCCCATTTATTAGTCTCGTTCTTACTTATTTATTGAAGAAAAAGCCAAAGGACGTCGAAGGAGAGATGATTTGGAAAAACGGTTTGAGCTGGAGAGATGTTTATTTTCAGGTTCATTCTATTGATCTTTATTTGTTTATTATTTGTAAATGTTTTTGAAAGAATTGCCGTGTCTTTGTCTGTGTAGACGTCTGGTCGTTCAATGTATCTGTATCCAAAAAGAAGGGGAATTAAACAAGTTCTGTTTGAAATACCATTTATAAAGGTATGAAATATTAAGTACTTTGAATGAGCGAAATATCACTTGTTGTTATTGTTGTTGATGTTGTTGTTCTTGTTGTTATTGCTGTTGATGTTGTTGTTGTAAATGATGTTGTTGTTGTTGTTGTTGTTGTTGTTCAGGAGCTTTTTCTTTTAGTGCCTATATTAGGGTCTGGAATTAACTTCATTAGATAATCAAATCAATTTTAAAAACATTTGCAATATATTTGATAAATCAACATTTCATCTTCATATGTTTATGCAGTTTTTGGTCCTGCACATAGATGACTTTGTGGCAAATGTGACATAAAAATGAATTTCTACTATTTAAACATTTTCTATGATAATTACCTAAAACTGTACACCGATGTGCGGCATCTTAAGTTTCTAGTGCAACTGTTTAAGAAGATTCTGTATAACAGCCTTATTCAGTATAACAAAAGCTACATCTTCAATGCATGTGCTTTCCTTTTTACATCATATCTGGTGGGCAGTAACCAACTTCTTGGTTACAAAAACCTATAAGGAGTTACTTCCCTGAGCTAATATACGTAGGCAGTTTTTAGGCACTTGTGTATTTCCTTGTTCTTTAGATAGATGAAATCATTAAAGGTACCAAAGGGTTTTCAAAAAACACTTTCAGAATAGTATTGATATCTGGTGCAATTGAACAATTCAAATTTCCAGCTAACGTGGTAAATCATTTATCTTATGTGAGCAATTTTACCCTCATCATATTTTGACCTAACATTTTATTCTTACAAGGAACAAACAACAATTCATCAATGGATTGGAAATTTGGCGATGCTGTGGCTTTTGAAAGATAAGGAGCTACTGGAGTCGCTAAATCTGAACGCATAGAAAGGTATGTGTTATTTTTGTTAAGCGTTTGTAATCTTTCTGAAAACACCAGTATTATATTTTTTGTCTTTATTACTTGTGTTTTAAATCATAGGTAACCCTCGAAGGCCATAATGGAAGTTCTAAAAGGTACTTCATTTAATCACCATGTACTTTTTTAATTCATATTTGGACTTAAGGCTTTCATTTGCAAGATGATCACAATGATCCACATTTAGCCTTCATTATCCACCTCAGTTTTAACCATTCAATCTTCAACTACAATTTTTCAATAAATATGCTACATAGTGGTTTAACCATTCAATCTTCAACTACAATTTTTCAATAAATATGCTACATAGTGTATTTCTTGATTCTATGTTTCAGTAGCGATGAGAAAAAGCATCGTGTTTTTTTCACTTTATGGAATGGCGAGATGATAGGTTTACTTGTACATCCTACATGGACTTTTACTGATGTCTATTCACATCTTTTTGCTTTTACCTGTAAACCTGGTACCTGCTCCCTGTGCCAATTGTAATCAATTGTGCACCCTCTGGGCAGTGGATATTGCTGGCTCAGGTGTGTTTTCAATATTTGATTTCTTCAAATTTTCAAAGCATCAAAGTACCAAAATATAGTTTTTTTTAATTTAGCAAGGCATGTACACAAAGATGAGTTACTTGTACAGTTAGAAAAATCAGGGCATTCCTTATTCTTAATGGAACATCAACATAAGGTTAGTTGTTGTGTAATTACCATCTAAAGCAGGGTGGGCAACTTCTCCAGTCGGGTGGGCAACTTCTCCAGTCGGCTGGCCAGATTTAGGAAAATGAAGTTATTGGTGGGCCGGATTATTACATGAATAACATTCAATATCTTAATCACAGATATAGACGGATACAGTCGGCGGGCCAGTCAAAATTCCTTCAGGGGCCGGACCCGGCCCGCAGGCCGTATGTTGCCCACCCCCGATCTAAATTGTCAATGTCTACTTGAATTCCGTCTTCCAAGACTTTTGTTATCATATTTTTAGTTGCTGGTTGTACATTTTGGGGACTATTCTTATGAAGCTCTGACTACTCCATCTGAAATCACAGCTAAAGAGGTTTTGACAGTTTTATTAAAATTTTGCACTTCATTTTCAACTGCATATTATGTAAAGTAAAAAATGTGAGCCAGAAACCAAATTTATAAGCCAGATCCCTATATTCAACGAATTCCCTTTTTTAGATTTTAAAAATGGACGAAGTTTCCAGCAAGTTACGAAAATTAAGTTGCTTTGATCCTAGCTTGTTTCTTTGCTATGACAATGGAAAAGGTTTTAAAATGCGACTACTTTGTCGGCCATTTAACCACGTGATTGATATAATTTGCGATACCACGTGATTGATATAATTTAATGTGTGTGTGATATCTTTTATAGAAGTTCAGTTTTGTATGAACGATAATCCTCTGAACTATACGGAACATGGTAAATAGATGTCTGTGAATTTATCTCTCAATTTGTTTAATTGACGTACAAGCTCTGGACAGTGGCTCGGAGCGCACATTAGGAAGTGGAATGGGTCGAGATTATGGCACTCTTCAGCTTTTGTGTTACATACGTAAAAGTCGATCCAGAAGCTGATAGAGAATGAAAAACGGCAGTTTCGCTGAAATTGTGATCTTTTCTATAAAATACAGACACTGCATTAGTCGGTTCCACAATGCCCCCATTTTTTGGAATGTGCGCCCTTGTGTTGTTAGAGACTTGTTGCCCGAAGCTTGAATAACGTTGTCATGTTAATGATGACATATTGAAGCGTATTCGAAGGTGTAAACAGTCCCAGATCGTCCGTCTTTATATAACTTGCATGGTAACTTGGTTTTTTTGTGATTTATTAGGAAAGATAGTCGCAAGAAGCAAGAGAGTTCGAGTGAAAAGCCTAAAAAAGACGGATTACCGAGCGATCGCTGAAATACGTTGGACTGAGGTGTTAAAATGAACTTCTAATGTGTAATCATCATACTATCTCATTGAGGTTTTTCTTTGTATGTAAATACAATTTTTATTTCATACTGAGTTATCTCTTGTTCATAGTTTGAAAAACATCGGCAAAGACAAAAAGCGACTCAAGCAGCAAAGGAATGCTTATCGGAGCAAATCAAACTCTCGTCGAACGTTGATAAGGAATTGTGTTTTGTTGAAGACCATTTTGCTGCGAGTGATTGTAGACCCAGCCGTCGAACAGCAGTTGAGAAGTATTCTCGTGCGAAAATCTTACCTAAAACATCTAGTTTTGCCAACGATAATGTTGGTTCGTCAGTTCCTTGTGAGACAGCGAATGCTCGGGAAAATAAAAATATAATTTATGATTTGAAAGAAGAAGAGAAGACGCCGAACACCTTTACTTCAGATGCGCAATACATTGACAATTCATGCGATGAGATTGCCCATGCGTCTAACAACGGGAAACTGGTTGTTTCTGAACCAAATGTTCATAAATCATGTTCAAATATCTCAAACGATAGCGAGGAGAAAAGAAACTGTCTTGATGACAAGAGTTCAAATGTCATTGCCACACGATGTGGGTCAGAAAGTACGATCCAAAGCTCTGAGCATGACTTGAAGGACGAAGACAATGAAGACCGTACTTGTGATGTCACTAATCATGATGTCACTAGTGACATAGCCCCGCCACCGACGAGTGACGAAACTGTAATTTGTAAAAATTACGTGAACTGTAATGTAAACAGAAACGAGGAAAGCTCCTTTCTTGATGATGGCAGTACAACTGACATTTATAATGACCGTATTTCCCGTAAGGCCGAATCTAGCATCAATATTCCTTGTTCTGCCACTTCTTGTGCTGGCTCACGTGATCTCTTGGGGCATCGTGTAGAGCGCTCCGTATCTGTGCAACCAGTTTTAAAAGATCAAGGATTACTTAGGGATGAGACCCTTGGAGTGCAAAGAGGAATGCGTCGTTGCATATCGGATTTAAACGTACGATACTCGTACACGTGTGCTGCGAACTGCGCAGACTCAATAGACGATAACACTGCTTCTTCAATTGGTTCAAAAGTTATGTCGGAATCAGATCTTGTAGATAAAGACGATGTGCTACGAGTCACTGACATCCATCTGCCGAAAGTTTGTGATGAAGAAGTTATATTTGCTATACCTGAATGTGACAAGTTTACCGGACCCACGTGGACATTTTCTAAGCGCGTTGAGAAATGCGTGAGGAAAATACTCGATGTGAAACTTGATTATTCTAAAGTGGAAACATTGATAGCTGACGAGCTCTGCTTGATACTGTATGAATTGATGGAACATGGTCTAAAAAAGACGATTTTTGGTCTTTCCTTGTTTTCAATTGGTGCCAATGTGTGGGTTGTCTGTCAAACTGTGTGCAAGGTAAAGTTTGTTGCATAAAGTACGTATTTAATGAAAGTGCATATGTGACGTCACTGTGTTCAAGGTAAAGTTTGTTGCATAAAGTACGTATTTAATGAAAGTGCATATGTGACGTCACTGTGTGCAAGGTAAAGTTTGTTGCATAAAGTACGTATTTAATGAAAGTGCATATGTGACGTCACTGTGTGCAAGGTAATATTTGTTGCATAAAGTACGTATTTAATGAAAGTGCATATGTGACGTCACTGTGTACAAGGTAAAGTTTGTTACATAAAGTACGTATTTAATGAAAGTGCATATGTGACGTCACTGTGTGCAAGGTAAAGTTTGTTGCATAAAGTACGTATTTAATGAAAGTGCATATGTGACGTCACTGTGTGCAAGGTAAAGTTTGTTGCATGAAGTACGTATTTAATGAAAGTGCATATGTGACGTCACTGTGTGCAAGGTAAAGTTTGTTGCATAAAGTACGTATTTAATGAAAGTGCATATGTGACGTCACTGTGTGCAAGGTAAAGTTTGTTGCATAAAGTACGTATTTAATGAAAGTGCATATGTGACGTCACTGTGTGCAAGGTAAAGTTTGTTGCATAAAGTACGTATTTAATGAAAGTGCATATGTGACACCACTGTATTAAGGTATTTGTTGCATAAAGTACGTATTTAATGAAAGTGCATATGTTCGTCACTGTGCAAGTAAAGTTGTTGCATAAAGTACGTATTTAAAAAGTGCATATGTGACGTCACTGTGTACAAGGTAAAGTATTGTTTAATGTAATGTTAATGAAAGTGCATATGTGACGTCACTGTGTGCAAGGTAATATTTGAAAAGCAAGTATATTTAATGAAAGTGCATATGTGACGTCACTGTGTGCAAGGTAAAGTTTGTTAATAAAGTGCGTATTTATGAATGTGCGTGTGTTACTAAAGTACTTTTTTTTGCAATCAATACGTTTTAAGAAAGCTGTGACATGAAGTACATGAATGTCACCCCAATTTACGTCACCTTCAAGCATCGCTGGTTGCTTCAACAGGTAGAGCTACCATTGTGAAGAGTTGCATAGATGTTTAAAACTGTACAGTGACGTCATCCGAAATTACGTCACAAGCTGTGTAATCTGGACATTACAAAACTGCAAT